ATCGACAGAGCTCAGCTGATGCGCCACAAGGATGCAAACTTGCACTTGGCCAAGAAGTGCGGCACTGGCTTCCAAAAAGCAATCAGCCGGATGTCACTATATATTTGTTTTTTTCAAGAAACATAGAGCTCGACGGCTATTTAAGGCTCGACATTGCTTGAACGATGCTCCACAAGGATGCAAACCAGCGCTTGACCAAGAGAGAGGCACATCCTTTGGGGAGCCGAAGGGAGCCGAACGCGGCTACTGCCAGATGCTGCAACGCCGGCTGCGGGGTCGTGTCTCCCGCTTGCCTCCCTGTGTCTCCCAGTCTCTGCGGTCGGATGCCAGATGCTGTGACGCCGGGTTGTCTCCCCAGTCTCTGCGGTCAGATAGATGACGCTGGCTCCGCAGCGTCACAGCATCTGGCATACCGCAGAGACTGGAGACAAGCGGGAGACACGACCCCGGAGCCGGCGTCACAGCATCTGGTATGCGACTGCAGAGACGGGGAGACACAGAAAGAAGCGGACACCACCCCGGAGCCAGCGTCATAGCATCTGGCATCTGACAGCAGAGACACTGAAAGGCAAGACACCGGAGCCAACCTATACCCTGAGCCGGCGTCGCAGCAGAGACTGGGAGACACAGGAAAACAAGCGGGAGACACGACCCCGGTCACAGCATCTGGGACCGGTTGTGGGGTCGTGTCTCCCGCTTGTCTCAGATGCTGTGACGCCTGTGTCCGCTTGTCTCCCTTATTCTGGATGCCAGATGCTGTGGGGGTTGTGTCTCCCGCTTGTCTCCTTGTGTCTCCTACTTTTCTGTGTCTCCTTTCTGTGCAGTCAGACGCCAGATGCTGCGACGCCGGCTGCGGGGTCGTGTCTCCCGCTTGCTGTCTCCCAGTCTCTGCGGTCCAGATGCTGTGACGCTGGCTCCGCAGCGTCACAGCATCTGGCATACCGCAGAGACTGGAGACAAGCGGGAGACACGACCCCGGAGCCGGCGCCACTTCAGAGACGGGGAGACACAGAAAGAAGCGGGAAACACCACCCCGGAGCCAGCGTCACACTGGCATCTGACCGCAGAGACTACCAGACACAGGAAGACAAGCGGGGCAGCGTCATAGCATCTAGCATCTGACCGCGGAGACTGGGAGACACGGGGAGACAAGCTGGAGACACGACCCCGGCATACCGCAGATACTGGGAGACACAGGGAGACAAGCGGGAGACACGACCCTGGAGCCAGCGTCACAGCATCTGGGAGACACAGGGAGACAAGCGGCCGCAGCCGGCGTCACAGCATCTGGCATCTGACCACAGACAGGGAGACAAGCGGCGGGAGACACGACCCTGGAGCCAGCGTCACGGCATCTGGCATCTGACCAGAGAGACTGGGAGACAGGAAGACAAGCGGAAAACAGGACCCCGGAACCGGCGTCACACTTTCCCATTCTCTATACCTCAAGTTAGAACCCCAATGCTTTGCTGGTTGGGGAATAAATATATATATATATATATTTCCAGTAGTGACAAATTCCTTTTAAAAACCAACAAGGGAAAATAAATAAATATGTATATATATATATGTGTCCAGTAGTGATAACTTCCTTTTGAAACCAGCAAGGGAAAATAAATAAATACATAAATACATTTAAAAAATACATAAACAAAAAATATTTAAATATATATATATATATTTACATACATATATATATATATATGTGTCCAGTAGTGATAAACTCCTGTTAAAACCAACAAGAGAAAAGAATAAAGAAAACAACTTCTCCAGCCACTGAGCGTCTTGCAGCACCACCCGGGCGCGGCCGGAGACGTCCGAGACGCAGGGGTCCAGCACCGGGGAGCAGGGCGACACCGGGCCGTCGAAGGTCGGGGAGTGGGGGCTCAGGATCCCGCCCTGGTGGTCGTACTTCCGGCGCCGGTCCTCGTCGCAGAGCCTACGGAGTGATGCAGCTAGGCGACCGTTTCGGGCTTCAAAAAGGGAAACCGAGAGGAAAACATGACTTTCTGCGTCTTATTAGAAGGGAAAGCAAAGGAAGACATGACTTTCTGCACCTTCGACACACACACACACACACAAGTAAGACTTGCAAAGACATGCTTCTCTGTACCCACCCAACTACTCTGCCCAAAGATGTTTAGATGTTCTTGCGTTTTGCGAGCCATGGTCAAGACTCCGAATATGTGGGACATTACGGTTATGGTGGAAATCTTATCACAAATGCGTGAACTCTGCCCCATGGTGAATGCCCCCCATTGCACTTGAACAAACCACATGCAAATTTAAGTAGCTGCCCTCGTTCCCCAAATATGGCAACTGTCAAATGACGTCTCCCACTCTGGTGGCATTCCTGAACTTGTATCGACATAGGTTCATATGACCAGATCTTCCAAGGTGAATGGCTCAAGCACTCGCACCCTCGGAATCCTCAAGGAGGGCTCCGTTCCAAAGCCGGCACCAAGTTCCCAAAGCTCTAGAGACTCTAGTGCTACCTGCCCCATTCCAGTCCGAATCTTTCTAGAAAAACCGCCGGAAACCCAGGGAAACGGATCCGGTCTTCGAAACGAGCGACGGTTGGAAAGAATGGAAAAAGGAGTCGACCCTTGTCATGCCTTGAGCTTGCGAAAATTATCAAAAGCGCTCTCGGGACCATCTTTCTCACTCTGGTGCAAGTCAAATCCGCCGGCACCTTCCCAAAGCCTTTCATCCAGGCGACACCTCGAAGGCCTTCACCACTTTCTGCGTCTCTTCCTCGGCCACGCGCTGCTCCCGCTTGGTGGGCTGCCGGCCCAGGCGCAGCGGGAGCCGGTCCGGGTGAACGTGGAGCACCCTCTTCAGGTACGCCTTGGGGGGGGGGTCCACATGGCTTTCCCTTAAAATCACCAGAAAAAAATGGTACCCTCCAACAAAAAAAAAATGGTACCCTTCAACGCTTGGACGAAGGTGGCTGTGGCTCGAAAAACCGGTGCCGATATGGAAATTTGGTGAGTGGAAACATGGACCTTGCTACCTTCTGAAATGGCCATGGGTCAAAATCCAATCGTACCCCCAGTAAACATCCCAATCTTCACTAAAATAGGTTCTAAAATGGGTGGTGAATTCACCTACCCCCAAATGGGATCCCATTGGTTTTGTCCCACAGCCATTTCAACGCTTGGGCGAAGGTGATACTTGTCTTCAGCAAGGGGAGGGCGGGCTGGGTGGAGTGAGAGGCGTGAGTGGAGTGTAACGAAATGAGCAGAGTGAGCGGAGCGAGAGGAGTGAAGTGGGCGAGGGAAACGAAGTGAATGGCAATTGAAGCGGGTAGGTGAGGTGAAGTGAGGGTGGGGTGGAGGGAATGGAGACTGGAGAGTGGAGAGCGGAGAGTGGAGTGGAGTGAGCGTGTGAGAGGAAGTGAATGAGGCGAGGCAAGTGAAGTGGGGTGAATGAATCGCATGAGGTAGGTGAGGTGAGGTGAGTGGAGCGGAAGTTGCAGTTGGTAAGGTGGGTAGGTAGAGATACGGGGTTGGGTTGTTGGTTCGCTACGGAAGATGGAAGCTGCGGAGTGGAGCGGAATGCACGTTTGAGAGAGTGAGAATGAGAATGATAATGAGAGTGAAAATGAAAGAGAAAGAAAGAAAAAGAAAAAGAGAGAGAGAGAGAAAGAGAGAAAGAGAGAAAGAGAGAAAGAGAGAAAGAGAGAAAGAGAGAAAGAGAGAAAGAGAGAAAGAGAGAAAAGAGAGAGAAAGAGAGAAAGAGAGAAAGAGAGAAAGAGAGAAAGAGAGAAAGAGAGAAAGAGAGAAAGAGAGAAAGAGAGAAAGAGAGAAAGAGAGAAAGAGAGAAAGAGAGAAAGAGAGAAAGAGAGAAAGAGAGAAAGAGAGAAAAAGAAAAAAAGAAAAAACTGAGAGAAAAAGAAAAAAAGAGACAATAAATGAGAGAATGCAAGAATGCGAGAATGCAAGAATGAAAGAATGAAAGAATGAGAGACTGCGAGAATGCGGGTGAGTGAGGTGAGTGAGGTGAGTGAGGTGAGTGAGTGGAGTGAGTGGAGTGAGTGAGGTGAGTGAGGTGAGTGAGGTGAGTGAGGTGAGTGAGGTGAGTGAGTGGAGTGAGGTGAGTGAGGTGAGTGAGTGGAGTGAGTGGAGTGAGTGAGGTGAGTGAGGTGAGTGAGGTGAGTGAGGTGAGTGAGGTGAGTGAGTGGAGTGAGTGAGCGAGTGGAGTGAGTGGAGTGGGCAAGTGAGTGCCTGCGTGCCTGAGTGCGTGAATGCATGAGTATTGTCCGCATCAAACAGGAATGTTGAAACAATCCCTTCAGGATTTCAACACCAACGCGGCTGTGTATATATATATATATATATGTTCGAACGACGCTGAAACTTCAACCTTTGACCTTCGAACATCTTTGACCCCGCGCCTGGCGCAATTTCAGGGCGTTGGCGATCCTCGGGATGCCCAGCGCCGCGTAGTGGCCATCCGGGTCCGGGTCAATCAACACGTTCCACGGGTTGGAAAGATCCGGCCCGCGCAGACGCCAAGGCGGCGTGGACTTTCGGCGCAGCCGCCGCCGTGGTGCATAGGCACCCCACATTGACATGGCTCTCAATCAAGGCAATGCATCTGAATTTACCACTCCCATGTTGGTGCGGAATACGTCTTGTATATGACGCATTGGTTCTTTTATTATCAAATAAAGGCAAGAGGTACAGTCATCGCCATGTCTTGCTGTAAGCACACATTCGTCGCTTGGATGAGATGAGACGCTGAACAAAAAACACCCAAACAGCTACGACAGAGCCCGCAGTCAGCAATCGTCGGATGGTGTCGCCTGGCAGCTGAAGAAACATCCGCCTCCCCTGCTGAAAGTTTAACTCTCGGTGTTTTAATGGAAAACCCATGAGTCGGCAAAAAGTTAGTGTCCTAACATCCAAGCAAACTGCACCAAAGAAACGCATCGCCTATGTCAAAAGGGGCCTCTGGCAGGTTCCTTCCTGGGTAGCTCGCGGGACTGCGTGCTGTGCCTCAACTTCCCGGTCCATGTGGCCGTTGCGGGAGATGGCCCAGCCTGGCCCGGAAAGCTATGGGCAAACGGCCCTGGTAGATGATGGAAACCCATCTATTTTTTAACCAACACTGCCAAAAAAGGACACCTACCTTGGTCTTCCAAGGACCCGCAAAACCAGGGTCCTTCTTGATTTTGACCTTGGCTCCAAATGGAAGTTCGGCCAAAGGCCTGCTTTTCCAGGGTCCGGGAAGATCAAGGTTTAGATTCACTTGTCACATCAATAGCGAACATGTCGGACTGACAGCAAGCAAGTCGCGGTGGCAGTTTCAGCGGCGGGCAAGCTGCCAGGCAGCCGTCTCAAGATCCATGAATCTTTTCGTAGCTTGGGGCCCTCCAACATCATCTTTAACCAACATGGGTGTGGGTCAAAATTTTCAACCACCAGGAATTGGACCGCAGGTTTTAGTCCTGGGTTCCATTTACCGGGGCAACCCATTTTGGGGTGACCCCATGTTTGACCCGCCACTTGGATCCCCATCCCGGCCAAGCCAAAAACCTGCCCTACCACCCGGCGTCGCCATGTCAAGCGAGCGCCGGGAAGGCGCGTGACGAAGCGGAACTGGTCCTTCGGGAAGTTCCGGCAGTACCGCAGCTCCTGAGGAGCTCTGAGGGCTTGACGCTTTGGGCGGTTAAGACGCTTCGATTTTGGTGTCAGGGTTGTCGGCTGAACTCTTTTTCATCCTGGTTAGGTACTAAAACTAGGTGTTTTTTTCAACTTAGGTGTCCATATGCCCCCCTCTCCAAAAAAAAGGCGCCAAAAAGACAGGATCACAAAACCAAACTGGCGGCCGGCCATTCACCGAACCGGGGATAAATCAGTGGCGCGCCACTGGAGGACCGACCACAAATTCCAAATAATTCGAGGCACCTTGTATCTTTTCAAGGTTGGACCCACTAGAGTGAGTGGGTTTTCCTCTTGGTTTCCCTTTAAAGCCACCAAAGGAGAGCGCACCCGCAAAACGAGGATCCGCCCCCGCTTCAGAAACTCTGACACTCTCCGGCAAATGAACATCTGAGCGGATGTTTGTTGCAAGCACCCCGGTTTCAGAAAACGAGGCACGCGAAACGACCAGCCGGGCCGGGCCTCTAGCCACTGAATTCCGGCAGTCATCAATGAACCAAGAACCAGGTTTGTCCGCTCGGTTTTGAAAGAGAAATTCTGGACCTCCCTTCACATGCGCCAACTGACCATTCACTGAAATGGTTTTGTCACTTGCTCATGGGAAAATCGGGCTTCCTACCAAATCTGCAGCCGCAAAGGGTACCGCTGTTTCATTTCAAGGGGGCCGTACCCATGGTTGAAACCGACCCATACTGCGAGTAAACGAAATCCGATTCGCACCACTTGGGACAGATGCAACCATCTACAAATGAGATAAGCCACCAATCCTACCTGGCAGGATTTGGTCCACCCACAGTGAGGTCAGGATTTGGGGCGCTTCCTTTATAGAAGACACTCGTGCGAAGTGGAGTTTGCCCATCCACACGAGACGTCTCTGGTGCTCCAGCATCTTGGGCAGCGCAGGGTCTGTGACATCGGCGCCTCTAGGCGCTCGTCGCTGGCGCATGGATGTGTCTGCTTGGTCCCTTTGTAATTTGTTTCGGGGGCTCATGGAGGCGCCACATGGAGTCAACTGCTTGCACCTTTCTGTTTCAAGGGAACTCCTTGGGAAAAAGTTCTCAAAAGCTGGATACAGCAGAAAGGCACCCATGGCCGAGGTGGTCGCTTAATGGGCCCTGGGTGTGACAAACCAAGAGTCGTGTGCCCAGTCGCTGCCGCCTAGGCCTCTCTTGGGAAAACATGCCTCCAACATGCCCTTGATCTTCCAAAACCCTGGAAAAGCAGGGTTTGGCCGAACTTCCATTTGGAGCCAAGATCAAAATCAACAAAAGACCCTTGGAAGACCAAGGTGGAGTCCAGTTTGGCATCAACTGACCCAGGCCGAACGGTTCAAAGGTCTCACATGCCTTCGCTGTTCTCTTGAGCTGCACATCCAAAATCGATCGGGCCACCGGGGTGTGGCTCAGGAATCGGGCCACCCAAGACGGAAACCATGGCAAGTGTACCAAAAAAGAGACTGGGCCGTCCTCAGATCCATCACTTTTCCGGGGCGACATGGACGCCCCCGCTAAACCCAGCAAAAACCCTCCAACCAATTCCTCAGGCGCCGGAGGATCGATCCGCCGGTTGAGCCGCGAAAACGGCGACACCGCGGAACGTCGGCCACGACCAAACCCCGCTGGCCTGAGCGGGGCGCCGCGCCGCCCTCCGGCAGGTACCTCGTCGGAGGGGGGAGTTCCATCGAAACGATCGCCGGAGGCGTGGATCGAAACAAATCAATCTGGTGTTGCTCTGGGCATTGGGGGAGTTCCACGACCGGACCCAAAAAAAAGTGGGACGGAAGTTTGCTCACTTGGAGAAACAAATGAGCCACGGGCACAATTGGGCATGTCCTTGCATAGAGCAATCAAAGCAATCAAAGCCTCGCAGTGGTGGGCCTTCTTTGTAACGGTGTCAGCTATTTCCGGATCTTCGCCGCTGGTGACCGCCTCCACCCAGCATCTTTGGGGCCCCGGCAGCACCGCGGAGCAGACCTGGGAGGATTCAACCGGCGGTCCTTTTAATGAAGGGGGTACCAAATCCAAAAGCCGAGCTACCCATTTTTTTCGAGCAAACAAAGGACCATGTCTGCAAGACGAAATAAACGACACCAACACAAAGACGGGATGACCAAGGGGGGGCCCCTTTTTGGTGCGATTTCCAAAGCAAAAGGAAACGGTTCCTTGCCATCTGGGCAATCCTAATCTTGCTGGTTCGATAGGGAATGACCGTTCCGGGTGATGAGAAAATTCACAGGTTGTGGGGATTCCCCAATCAAGGAAAAGCCAAATCGATCGATCTTCTCAAATCAGGGTCCTTCCCATTCTCATTCCCTGCTTCTCTCCAACCTTGGGGTTCCGCAAAAAGCCCATGTTGCTGCTCCCCAAAATGTCCTCACAACCCAGCTTGGATTGCTCCAGTCGGGTTGGAAAGTCAGAGCTCGAGCATCCCGCGCTCCGCCTCCGATTCGCCTCCCGCCGGATTCGCCTCGCCTCAAGGCCGTAGTACCGGAGGTGGCAGACCCCGTGGGCCTTGAGGCTCTGGCCCGCCAGCGCCTGCGGACGAATCGGCGGTCTGCGATGAGATCAGAACACGGAGGAAATGGTTGCAGATGAGGACCCCCTTAGAAGTAACCACGGAGGAAATGGTTGCAGAGGATCCCCTTAGTAGGCAACAACGTATAAAAAAAAATAAAAAAAAAATAAAAAAAAAAATAAAAAAAATCAAGGTCGCGCGAACGGACTTCCCGCGCGCTCATCCTCTGTCTATGCGCTGGCCGATGCCCGCGCCTTTGAGTCTGCGAACTCGTAGCTGCCCACGGTGATGGACGCCTTCAGGGGACAGCCTACCGAGTCCCCTTGAGGGGAGCAAACAGCCCGAGCATTGCGAGAAACACCCTGTCCAGTGCCAAGTCTGTTCGCACCCCTATGGACCCATGGACTCGTGCGGAGTAGCATCTCCGGCATTGCAACTTTCCCATGTCTGCCCATCGGAACGTCGGGGTTTCCCTAATGCCTGCAACCAGAACCACTCCAGGCAAGAGCCCCATACCTGTTGAGGAAACACTCTACCTTCCGTGGCCCCTGAGGTGTGCAACGTTGTGGGCACAACTCCGCTCCTACAACAAATGCAGCTGCCGGAATGGGAATGCTCGGCCATTAAAGTTGTCTGAAAGCGTCCCCTGACCGTCCTGGTTGTGAATCGCACACCAATGCTGGGGTAAAACCAATATGTGCCCTCTCCGAATCATCCGGTCGTCCAATGGGCACACAAACATGAACTGAACCACAAGGTGCATCATATGGCATCCAAAGGTTGATCCCCCGTCCCAAAAACCGCCTGCGGAGGGGGGAAAAAAACACGCAGCAGCCACCCCCATTTCGTGTTTTTCCCGTTTTTGTCCCCTGTTTTTTTCAGGTGTTTGGCCCTTTCGGAACAAAGAAGGATGGTCTGAAAGAGTGTGTCAATCAATAATCTTCCGTTTGCTTGCTGATACTGTACATGGACGAAATTCGATTCGCACCACTTGGGACAAATAAAACCTGATTTAATGGGGTAAACCACCTACCAACTGGCAAGATTTGGTCCACCCACAAAATCGAGGTCAGGATTTTGGGTGCTTCCTTGGCCAATCCGAGTCGAGGGTTGTCGGCAGACTCTCGTTCCGAGCGCCGGTCCGGCGCCGGCGCCGGCTCCGTGACATCTGGCGCGGAGCGGGAAACGGCCAACGGCGCCCTTTCGTTTCGTTGCCCCAAACTTTGGATTGGAGCAAAAGACCTGATGAAACCTTCAGGACACAGTCTCTTTTGCACCGCAACTCACCGCAACTTACCCAAACCCCATCCTCAAAATACCTCCTCAAAGTACCCCAGACCCCTCAAACCCCATCCTCAAACCCCTTCCTCGAAATCCCCACCTCCGTCTTTGGCGCTCCAAGCCCTTGGGGTCCCGTGCCTAAGCCTGCGCTGGCGAAGGCGTCGGCAGTGCTCGACCTCGGGCTCACAGCTCTTGCCCGTGTTCAACCGATGCACGGCGAGACGGGTGGAAAAACATGTCCTTGTTTCCTTTTTGTGGTGTGTTTGTTTCTTGCTTCTTGTCCTTTCTGTTTGTCTTTTCTTTTTGTCTGTTCTTCTTGTCTTCTCTCTCTCTCGCTCTCTTTGTCTCTTGTTTTGTCCTCTCTCTTCTTTTCGATGCTACCCTACCCTTTTATGGTGGGTTCAAGGAAAACCAATCGGCACACCAGCTGCGCCATTTTGGGGTCCCGGCCCACATATCTTCCTGTAAGACAAAAAGCGACGGGCCACCCAGCACGCGTCAGCTTCGACTTCGCTGCCAGGCGGCTTCGAAGGGAACAGGGCGCTGGCGAAAGTCGTCAGCCTGCACTCGGCACTCGGCACTCGGCACTCGGCACTCGGCACTCGGCACTTGTTTTCAAAGCCTCGTGCGATCGATCGCACCGAAAAAACGCGAGATGAAACACGCAGAGTTGAAAACACCCAGACATGTTTCAGGCCAAATAGACCCAATAGACCAATGGTTGCAGCTTGAAAATAACAGATTGCTTGCTTTCAGGATGAAAGGCAACAAAAACCTTGAGCCCACCCTCCACCCATCGCCTCGCCTCTGGGATCGCTCCTGCCAGAATTGGCGCGCACGGGAATCGGGGAAGAACACCGGTGCAATCTGCCGAGTGACGCTCAAAGCTACGTGAAGTGAAGTCGAACAATTGAAGGCGCTCCGTGAAAGTCAACAAGACCCCCTCCACAGCACCTCTGTCGAACACGCCCAATCCACCTGACAGCTCGCTCGCGCCACTTTCACCGCAGCATCTTCTGAGTCTGTATGCGGGCTTCATCGAAACGGTCGAAGAGGTCAAGGATCGGCTGGACTGGATACCTCGCCATTTCTCGTTTTGGGTTGGCAAACCCCATGACAACTCCAAGGTCCTCGGTTTTTAGATGCCGCGGGCCCCCTCCGCGCCTTTGCACTGTGAGATTCGCCAAGAAGGGGCAACTCCGCGACAGCTCTTCCAAAGACAGCAGCCACAGCCACTTGCCTGCGCCATTTCCTTAAGCGAAAAGTCTCCGATCCCCACACGACCAAAAAAACAAAGCAAAAGGCAACATGAAAAATGGGGTGCAGCGTCTGACCCGTCAAGCCTTGGAGCTTGCGTTTCTGTTGCCTAAGGCATCTATGGAAGTCAAAGGATCCGTGCCAAGTGATCGGAAGCTTGTCCTTCCGCCACAAGGCGCAACCAGCAATCCGGTAGTTGCCGTAGAAAACCTCGTGAAGGCGCCGGAAGCTGTCACTGACCTGGGAGGCAAATGGAGCCACGAGCGGCCTAGGAGCCTTCGAACACACACACACACAAACAAACACCTGTGGCAAGCCGCGAAACACAAAACCTGCCCAGCTATCACAACCCTCCTGTACCTCCCTTTTGAACTTCTAAAAAACTGGAGCCAAAGTGCGACTCTGCAACCCCGAAACCACAGGAAACCTCGCGACCGAGCGACTGTACAACATGGCTGCATGCTACATCGCGGCCGCCAGCCGTCGTGACAGGCCACCGCCTCCACCTCTACCTAAGTCGCGCCAAACAAAAACAAAAGCAATCCAAAGGAGCCAGCGGCAGACTCGATATCCTTTCCGCACACTAAAAGGGGGGCACTTCTCTGATTACACTCCGGATATGGATATCTACGCTCCGGATGAATCCGACGTTCACGACGGATTCTGTTCGGCGGCCTTTTGGGCTTGCAACTTCGCGTCAACTTTGGCGGTGGAAATGGCCTCGGCCCAAGAAAAACGCTCCAGCGAGCGCCGAATCGGACGATCCCAGCGGCAAAATTGCCAAAGATGGACTGGTGATAGTCCAGCGTGACCAACCTCGGCACATCGATCTGAGCTCAAGAAGCCTTGGCGGAGTTCTAGGGGTTGATTCCGAATTCCCATTCTTCTCAGCCATGCTTTTTTTCAAAAACCGATCGCCATAAGCTGAGCTACTCGGGGTGCTCCCAGAAGTACATCTTGAAGAAGTACTGGTCTGTCTCGCCACCGGTGGCATCCTGGCCCCGGACTTGCGAGCCACTCTGGAGAGCTCGCACGTCCACGAGCCGAGCAGCATGTCACATGTTCAAATCAGACCAAACGATAGAGATCTCCAGAAATCATCCCCTTCCCCCAATTCCGGTGTAAAGGGGGTGGAGAGACTTCAGCCAAACACGTCCAGCACTTCAACAAGTTGTCTACCTTTCATGGCGTCTGGTTCTGGCTACCTGCCATCTCACTTTCACAAAGACCGTGCCAGGCCGCTGCAGTCGCTGAGAAATTGTCATCTGGCTGTGGTTTTGACAAACCCATGGGATCCCATTTCGGGGCTTTCGATGCACCACCCATTTTAGAACCTATTTTAGAGGTTGGGATGTTCACTGGGGCTATGGGATTTTGACCCATGGCCATCTCAGACCTCTGGTATTGGTCTGCGAATCGAAGCTCTCGAGTATCATAGCACCCTTCTCACAGCATCTTGCTCAATCACAAGCCAGTGCATCAAGTTCCTTCCCCAGAACATGCTGCTGAGTCTGGTTTTCCACATCTCGCTCGAAATCAGAAACAAAGACTCAAGAAGGATACCAACTCCAACATCAAAGCCAAACAATCACCGGAATTAACCCCGAACCAACGGATTTCCGTTGGTTTCCCTTCTCACACACAAAACAGAAATAGCAACTCCAAGAACAAGGAACCACAAAATCCGAGCCCCAAAACCGCCGACGTCCGTCGAGAGCCGACCGCCGCCGCCGTTCGCTCCTGGGCCGTGGTCTTTTGCCGCAGCTCCCCATCCCGTCGCGCCGCGGCGTTGAGGACCCACCGCAGGATGCGGACCAAGGCGCGTGCGGGGCCAATGTAGCCTCACCGAAAACGCAGGCTCATGTACCCAACTTTCGTGTAAAACATGAAACTTTCTCAGGGGGAGCTTGGGAAGGGGATCTCGAACCGATTCAACCCCAGTCAACTCCAGCAAAAACATGTCGGTGACTCAAGGGGAAGCTGCCCGTTGGTCGAAATAGGTGGGTCCGTCCGCCCTGGAGTGGGGAGTCCCCGGCTCCAAAGCCACAGCATAGCAGACATATTGACATGAGCCTCATCTCAGATTATGCTGCATGTATGTGTGCACGTACGTACGTACGTACGCATGCACGCACGCACGCACGCACGCGCGCGCACGCACGCACGCACGCACGCACGCACGCACGCAGGCAGGTAGGTAGGTAGGTAGGTAGGTAGGTAGGTAGGTAGGTAGGTAGGTAGGTAGGTAGGTAGGTAGGTAGGTAGGTAGGTAGGTAGGTAGGTAGGTAGGTAGGTAGGTAGGTAGGTAGGTAGGTAGGTAGGTAGGTAGGTAGGTAGGTAGGTAGGTAGGTAGGTAGGTAGGTAGGTAGGTAGGTAGGTAGGTAGGTAGGTAGGTAGGTAGGTAGGTATGTACGTACGTACGTACGTGTGTGTGCGTGCGTATGCATGTGTGTATGTATGTGGGTCTGTAATGTAATGTAATGTGATGTGATGTGATGTAATGTAATGTAATGTAATGCAATGTAATGTAATGTAATGTTATGTGTTTTGATGTGATGTAATGCAATGTAATGTAATGTAATGCAATGTGCTGTAATGTACTGCACTGTAATGTAATGTACTATAATGCAATGCAATGAAATGTAATGCAATGTATTTATGTATGTGTGTATGTGCATGTCTTTGTGTGTGTGTGGATGCATGCATGCACGTTATAAATATGTATCTATGCTGCAGCTGCTGGTTTGCGCACGCGCGCGCACACACACAAACACAAAAACATAAATACATACAGACACATACACACACATCCATCTGGATGTGGCCCAGCCAAGCCCGGCCTCCCGCATTGAGATACTTGGAGTCTGTGGGACCCTGCGGATATCTCGCATCATCCTACGTGCCACTGGCTCACGAAATGGCTCAAGACATCGTCGAAATGCCTCACAAAATTTGGGTTCTGGGTGCCAATTTGAGGCGGGGCCCCAATGCCACCAAAACCGGCCCCGATGCACCAAAAGTCAAAAAGCTCATATGGGCCATCTGGCTGGTCAAACATGGGTACCCAAAATGGATGGTGCAATTTTGAGCCAGACCCATCTGAAGCGAAGCGAAGCGAAGCGAAGCTCCTCCTCCGAGCAGATGTGGCCACCGCCCCAGCCACAGAGCCGCTCCGAGGAGAAGACGACCTGCGGAGCCGAGCGGTGTCTGAGCTTTGCCTCTCAGGCTGCGATCACTGGAAATTTACCCGAAACCAAGAGAGGAATCGCTTTGGAGCAGCCTGAAACCTGGGTTTCTGCCTGGTCTAATAATCAGGTGTCTCCACTGCCCACGAGACCTTTTCAACCTGGCCTCCAGGCTGCCCTCCGTGATCGCCTGGCTCGCTCCGAGCCGATTCAAGCAAGGCCGATTCAGCATCCATAAAACCCCAAGCTGTGCTTGTTCAATCAAACCCGATGTCAAAAAAAAATCGCAGGAGCTTTGGGAAGACCAATGTAAACTCACTGATTTTCAGGACGTCCACATAGGCGCGGCAAGCCCGTGCCCAGCTTCGGCAGCTCGCGGGTTTTCTGGGAAACCCTTAGGCCGGATCCTCAGCCGCGCCTCATAGCGCTGAATGATCACCCGGGAGACCGCCTGCAGCCCACAGCCATGGGTCAAAGTCCAAATCGGTTAGCCCCCAGTGGTTACATCAACCAATCCAACCAAAATAGGAAGCCTAAAATGGGTGGTGAATTCACCTACCCCAAAATGAGATCCCATTGGTTTTGACCAACAGCAACCAATGGGTCAAGAATTGGTATGCAACATGGGTTGCCCTTGTCAATGTAAACGCGTAGACACGTGGACAAAGCACCCGCGGTCTGCTTCGATGTTCACCCCAGACAGCGGCAGCCCAAACCTCCAGCCAACTGGGCCTCCGGGGTCGCGGCCTCGCCGATCAGCTGGCGGAGGTCGTTGAAGATCACGTCCATGCCGTCGCTGACCACGAAGAGCCGCTCCGCCTTTGCGGAATCCGCAGCGAATCGCTCCAGGAAGGCCTTCCAAAGGCGCGCAGCTTGGCAAAGGGGAGAACCCCTCAAGATGGGTTTTTGGGTTGCCACGGTTGGTTTCCCTGCAAAACTTCCACCCAAGAAAGGCTTCCCCTCAGGAAAAATAAGGCAACGAGGCCGTCCGCTTCCGCTGGCCCGGTGCGGAAACTTGCAGAAGGAGCCGGAGCCCGGTGTGAATCCAAACCAATCCAAACCACCTAAGAAACGCCCAGTCCGAATCTTTCTGGCGCGTTCAAAAAAAGGCACCCTCGAAAAACGACAGCCCCAGGTGTGTAAATCCAAGGATCTGATACTGATCGTAACCTCCGAATCTGAGCAACGCCGTTGCATCGGCGGAAAAGGATGATTTGCAAACAGCACTCTCAAGAATTTCCTGTCCATCGATTTCTCCACAGGCACAAGTTCGGGCGCCTGGTAAAATCTCAGGCGCATGTACATGCCGTCCCACTCGTGGTTCTCGCAGACATTGTGCACCGGCAGTGGCGTGGACGCCCGGAAGATGTGGAAGACGGGGAAGTCCATGACGTTCACATAGCGGCCCCCGCTCACCTGTTAGAGAGATTCGTCCACTGCGCGCAGGCCAAGAAACGCATCAGGTGTTTGAGGGGACAGATCATCCGCGCTTCTGATCAGGTCTCACAAGTGCTGAGACCCAGAGCCATGATTCTGAGCTGCTGTTGGAATCCACCAAGGATGTAATCCGTTGCGCGGCTGTGCGGTGAACTTGCTGAGCGATCCACCCCACCCACCAACCCACCCGTATCTCACGGTAGTTTGGCAAGCGTACCCAATGGTTGGCCGATCCTGGGCTTGTCGCCACTTGGTCCGAGGAGCACATGTGAGAACCTCCACGCCGGACCACTTGGGATGCCCAGTGTCGAAGTCGACCAAAGGATCGCCCTCCCCAGACTCGCGGGCCGCCAAGGGGGTCTTCAGCGGCCGCTCCACCCTGCCGGCATCAGATGACTTCGGATAGACGCAGAAGCTTCAATCAGCCAAAAACACACCCAAGCAGTATCAGCAGGATTCCTGCGGTTTTGTTTTGTTTTTTCCCCGCATAGGTCGCCTCTCACCATGGACAAAAACGCCTTCTTCTTCTATTTCACCTTGTCCAACCCCTCCCCCCCCCCCCAAAACCACCCCCCCCGCCCCCCAAAAAAACCCCCCCCCCCCCCCCCGCCGGCTCAAGCCCAAAAATCGTCCGGTTTCTCCTGGCGGCCAGCGGCTGCATGGGCAGCAGCCGCAGCGCCGCGAAGCGCAGCTGCGCCTCCGCCTGCGCCTCCGCCTGCGCCCTCAGCCCCTGCGCCTTGGGCGATGCCCAAAGGAGCTGGGGGGAGGAGGACTGGTGGGAGGTGGGGCTGGTGGAGCTGTTGTTTTCTTGGGATGTCAAAAGGGTGATGCCAATCTCTCCCCGGCTAAAAGTTTGACTCACTTTTGGTTTTTGAGGGGAAAACCGAAATTTGTTGGGCAAAAAGCTGAAGTCCGAACATGCAAGCAAGATGCGCCAAAGTTTTGGTGGACGGGTCCGAGTTTCCTTGTCGCCTCCGTGAAAAAACACCACCCAAAAAAGCACACTCAAAGAAATGACGCCCCGATGTGGAAGCCGATAACCGGTTGGTTGGGGGAGATGTTGTTCAGTGGGAGTGTGGGTAGCTCGACCCCTCGGATTCGTCGCACGTCGGAGATACATTCGACTGCCAGCCCAACTCTGATAGATTCTCAAACTTGCATTCTTCCTCTTCCAACTCTACTCCAATTAAACCTACCTATCAGTAAAGCAGCTATGACCAACCAACCAGCTAGTATGATCAAAACCACCTACTCACTCTCAAGTGGCTGGGCCAAACAAGTCCGAACTTTTGTCCATCGATCTAGGGGTTGATTCCCCATTCTTTTCAACCATCGTTCTTTTGGGTGGTTTTGAAGAAAGAAGGATGCCTGGAAAGAATGAAAAAAAGGTGCCCCTAGAATCTACCAAGCCCCCCAGCCCAGCCCCCCCAGCCCAGCCCCCCCAGCCTCCCCCTTCCCCCGGCCCCAAGCCGCCTGCTGCTGCAGCTGGCGCCAGCTCTCCTGCAGCTGCTGCGCGGTGTGCGCCAGCTGCTGCTCGGCGGTCCGCACCTCGGCCTCACCTGAGCCACTGGCTCAAAACCCGGTACCAAAATGCTCGGAACCACGTAAGGAATGAAGAAGGCGGACTATCCGCGGCTATTTTTGGCTGGGATTGGCCCTTACCAACCTTCATCTACCCGGGTTTTGATTGTGGCTCGCCTCGGCTTTTTGAGGCTCCCCCGACTTCCAAATGAGACAGACGTGCGACCAAAGATCGGGCCAGACAACAGGGAGGCTCCGTTTTTTGATTTGCTTTCTTCGTCTTCCCTTTTTGTTGGGGGGGGGGGGGAGTCTTTTTTTTTGTTGTCTTCTTCTTCTCTTGTTTTTTTTTGGGGGGGGGTTCACTCGTTTTTCCATAAAAATGATTCGGATTGATCGGGGTCGGAGCCAAAGCCATGAGGATGGTCCAACATCCTAACCTCACATCCAAAAATGCGGAAAAGGGAACCAATGAGCGGCACCTACCCATTGTTGGTACCATGGCAAAGGTTTACATGGGTCGGTTTTTCCTTTTTCTTTCTTCTTGTTTCGAGGGGAGCGCAACGGTTTTCCTTTTGGTTTCCCTGTAAAACCACCCCACCACCCCAAATAGGGGGAGGGAACCCAAAAGAAAGACACGCCAGAGTCTCCCGAATCCGCATGAAACCAGGAAGCACCCATGGGCCAGTGGTCCATTTTTTTCGACGAGGCGCGCTGCGCCAGGGCTCGCTCTGCCTCTTTCTCCTGTCTGGGGCGTAGACCCAAGCCACCCACCTGCCACCATGCAGACTGACTCAAAGCCATCCCCTCCCCCCAAGCTGAAGGGGCATTCCAGGGATGGGGTTTTGGAGGTATGGAGGCTCAAACCCTCTCTAAGAAACTCGCTTCAGAACGCGTGCGCAGAACCCAGCTCCTGGATGCCGGCTGGGTCTTCCGCCGGAGCCTGTCAAGCAGTGGGCTCAGAATCTAGTGAGCCCTATTCGAGTCACTTGCTCAATGGCTGGGATCGTCCCTTACTAACCTTCATCTACCGGGGTCTTGAGTGTGGCTCATTTGGCCTTTCCCATGGCAGGTGTGCACCAGGCCTTGGGGTCGGGCTTTGCAAAGGAAGTGTAGACCACGCTCTTGTCCTGCACGCAAGCTCTGAAGAAACAAAAAAAAAAGCAAAACAAATCGCGCTCGCAAGCTTCCAAGGCATCTCCGGGGGCTAGACCTCCATCACCCTCTCCATTTACTTCCAGCGGCTACCAGTCACTGAAGCTCCGAGTCGATCCGGATCGATTCTGAGAACCGAGAACCCGTCCTCTTGCCACTGCACGTTGTGCATCGCGTTAAAGCCCACCTTCTCCTTGGCTACCACGAGTCTTCAATCGAGCCGAAGCCCGAATCCCCCGAATCAACCGAAAGCGGAACTTAAAGGAAACACCACGAGCCACCCCTGAGAAGTGTGTGGAATTCTCCGAATCAGTTTGATCTAAAAAATGAATGGAGCTGAGACAAGGACAGGGTCGGGTCTGGTTTGTGTGGCTGCGTCTTAGCGAGTCTATGTCCCGAACACCAAACTCGCCATCCACCGGGACGTTTCGACCGGGACGTTTTGACATAGATGTATCCAACCTCCCACACAGGAATGTGAAAAAAGTAAGACTCTTTCGCGGTCACCTTCCAAAGGGAAGTAGCGCGAAACCGTTGCTGTTGAAAGGGTCCCAGAATATGTCAATGTAGAGGCATGCATCTGTACAAATACATTTTGTATCTGTGTTGTGTGTTTGCTTGTATAAACTTACTACACTTTTGAGTGTGTCTCTTTCTGCGTGGACCCACCAAAATCGTGGTTTTCATTTTATGTTCACTTTAAGATTGCAAACAAGCAAAAAACAAAAACAAAAAACACACACACGCACATGCAGACAGAAATAGATCTGCCTCACCATGCCCGGCTCTTTTGGCCAGGCGCGCCAGAGCGGAAGGGGTACTTGAAGCGCTCCAGCCAGTCGTGCACTGGAGCCTTGTACTTGGCGTTCTTGGCCGCTGGGGCCAGCCACAGGAACCTCGCCGCTTGCTCGTGGCTGCCCCGATGATCGAGGAAACGGCTTGGAGGCGTTTTTTCTGGATCCATCCCTGTAGGATACTAAAAGAGTACTAAAGGAGTACTAGAAATGAACCAACAGGGGGAAGAACTGATGAAATCCACAAAAAGCGAATCAAAACTGTTTTCTGGAAGGGACGCGGATGTCAAGTGTTCTTGTTTTCCTGCAAAGCACTGCCAAGTTCAAGCTTGGCTTCAAGTTTGAATGGCCTTGCTTTTGAGAAAGTTCGGGTTGGCTTTCTGTTGAAATAGATGCCTTTGATCTGCAGGTACAACCACTTTCCAGTTAGAAGAGCTTCGATCCTTACAATACCTCCAGCCACTGCCTAAGGAATAGTGATTAGTGTGAGTGTAACCACTAGGCTGAAGCTAGTGGTTCTGCGCCACTGTTTCAGAATAGCTTTACTTATCCATACGAAACGTGTGTAAGTGTATGTGTATATATATATATGTACATATAACCGGATGTGTATATATATATAAGTATATGCACATATGTACATATAAACGGATGTGTGAATATTTTTTAATCACACTGTGCTTGTGCCAGTTTCGCTTGGCGCTTGCAAGTTTCGACGCTTGGCCGGGCGGCTCCTGCACCACCCGGCGGTCGAGGAAGGGATACCTGGCCTCCACACCGTGCACTCCAGCTACCAGCTCCTGGCGAAGTACGTCAAACGTCGCCTTTGTGGTTGGCAAAAATGGAAAAATGAGTGAGTTGCTGTTTAAGGGTATGAATTTTAGAAGGAAGATATGGGATGGGAATCCTGGTAAGATAATTCCCGGTGGTTGGCGAATGGAAAAATGAGTTGCTGTGTGAGGTAAAAATCAAAAAAGCATCCAGGAACATGTGTGGGGATCCACCAGGATCTACCGGCGTTTTGAGCCAGCAACTGCCAGCCGAAGGGGGTTCACAACATCACCGGCCGAACGCCCGTGGCTTGCACCCGACTCCCCTCGGGCCGATTCGTCCCCCCTTCCGCTCGCGAGTCCAGGATGGCCCCTGAAGTCGCGGCTGCGCTGCCCCTTGGCCTCTTGGCCCTTTCCAACCCCAAGTGTGCCGCATTTGAGCTGGGATCTGAGCGACACGAGGACAGTCCGCAACTTCTCAGGAATGGGGAGACTGAAGGAAAGACTGATGTACCGTCACCGCTCAGCTCGATCGATTCACTCCCTTTCACGCCGCCAGATCATGACGCGCCTGATTTCCACAAGTCCCACATCCAACAGCCTGACAGCCCTGCCTTCTCGAACAACTTCTCCCCACCCACCTCCCCTCGCTCCCCGCTGTTCGCTGCCTCCTTCATGAGATAGTCCCGCTGGGTGCCCAGGAAGAAGGCCTCCCAGGGGAAGAGCTCCGTCAAGGTCTCCGGGAAGAGGCCTCCCGAGCTCGGCTCGAGTCGACCAAAGATGCGACCCGGCCCGACGAAGAAGACGTTCAAAAACATGGACCTGGCTCCGTGAGCCTCAAAAAATGGTCGGTCACTACCCAAAGGAATATGTGGTCATGGATCCAATCTTTAAAGGGTCATGCACAGCAGGGCGTGGAACCAAAGACCTTGGAGAAGTGGCACCAACGACCAGAACGAGCCGCCAAAACCGGGGGCCGACAAGAGATGCGACCCGAGCTTTCCCGAGAACCCGACCACAGTCCATGGCTTTGGGACCTTGAAGAGCTCTGGCCTGAAACCTCCCCTTGCCTAAAGTCAGCAGCTTCCTTTCATGCCTCACCAAGCTTTCTCGGTGCAGAAAAGAAGGAAGTCTCGCTTCGAAAAATTGGACTGGCTGCCCCACCGCTCCGTCCTCCGAAGTTGGAGTGTGGGAAGATCTTCTTGCCTGGCGGGAGAAGCAAAGGCCAGGAAGACGCGGAAGGAGAAAGCTGCAGAAATGTTTCTACAACTACCTCATGTGGCCTCCTTTTTGTTGTCGCTCTTTAAGACCCATTCAAAGGCAGTTCCCAATGTCTGGATGCCTGCCCTATATTCATCTGCAAAAATAAGAAGCTTGCGAGCCAATCAAATCTGCCGGGACTTCTCACTTAGATCTTCAATTTTAAGTCAGGATTCTAACCCCTGTCCCACGTCTGACTTCCGCGTGGAATGTTCAAAAAAGTCTGAACTTTGTCTACCAGTAAAATGGTCCTCCCAAAATCTATGTCCAAGAACGGACTGAGTACTTGGCTCTTTCTCAGAAGAGGGGGACCCGTTTTTGGCTGGCAAATGGGGAAACCAACAGGAAACCACCTGGTTGGCCCCCTAATTTTGAGAACCACCCACTTGCTAAACATGCGCATAACCTAATGTTCACTCCCCCATGAAAACAGACCCCTGGTTGATTTTGACGTGCTCCAATATTCCTTTAACCGGGAGCAGGGTTCCACTTCTTCACTACCAACATGACTTAAACCCAAAAATGGGTCATGTACCTCAAACAGGGAGCCCCTAGGTTTCAGTCATTTTGGGGGTAGCCAAAAAGTGGAACCCTGACTGGGAGTGGCGGTTTGTCCGGTGACTTCTAGCCTCCGTGGCCGTAGTCCGAGATGATCTCGTCGGCGCCGGTGCCGGAGAGGTACACCAGGATCCCCCGCTGCCGGACCTCTGCGAAAAGGTCGTCCCAATGGATTGCACCGAGGAGGTGCTCGAGCAAGAAAACATGGGGGCCGGTGGACCGGCGATTGGGGTGACTCCTTTTTGGCCAAAAATGAGGCCAAGAACGGGGATCTGCGGCAAAAGTTTCTTCGAGGGAAACCCGAACAAGAGGACAGCCCTGACGCCCAAAGGAGATTCTCTGTTTGTTCCATTTTGTCATGTTCCTTATACTTTTCGTTCAGAAAATTTGGGCGGGGGTGGCGGGTGCTTGTCTTTATTCCAGGTGCATTTTTTGGGGTGCAATGTTTAATCCTAGGTGGACGTTGCGGAACGACCATTCAATTGCTAGTGACAGCTATTGTTCGCAGAATACTGTAGCATGCCTTGCAAGCTTGCCTGTTATCATATAAATACTGGACCCTTTGGCTGTAACAGTGAGGGTTTTGGGGCAGTTTAGCGCTGTGAGCAAAGCAAAGCTTAAAAACAATATGCTTGCTTCACGGCATCAACTTTAAGGGCAACTGGTACATGTTGCGCTGAGTCGCATGAGCCAGAGAACCACAGTTGAAGAGTTGAAGCAACATGTGAACTTGATCATCTAGGAGGCATGGTGAAACTGAACATCCCGAATTTGCAAAGTATTGTATATCATGCTTAATTAAAATGTTTCTTGTGTTGTTTGTAGATTGAACTCCTTCCTCCCGAAAAAGGGTTCGGCGCCTCCTTCATGATGTAGGAGAGGCCCGAGGACGCGGGATCTTCCGAGACCAGGAACTCTTGCCCGCGAGTGGCCCTGGCATTTGAAACATGCCGCGAGGCGACAAGGCGAGGGCGACGAGATGCCACGAGACTCGGATGGCATTGACCCAGTGCCCTTGCGATTCAGGAAAGCAAAGCTCGAGCATTAGAACATGCAAATGAATCGAGAACTGCTGGGTATAGGGGACATCAAGATTGAGAACGACTTCTCGGCTGCTACTTGGTAGCTTGGGCTTTTTGCCGAGTGGCCGGTCGCCGATTGGCTTACTCAGTTGGGCGACTGGGCAATTGGTTTGGTCAGAAACACGCCATGACCGGGTCATGACCCCATGTTAATGCCCCGGATTAATAAACCCCTGTTTATTAATATGGGGGTGTCCCTGGTTTTAGTGGGGATTCATCACTTTTGGAGGGACACCCCCATATTAATCAACAGGGGGTTTGGGTCAACATTAGAGACGACACACTTGTGCCACATTCGGCTTGCCCCCCCCCCCCCCCCGCTCATGCGGGTCCGGACATCTCCTTGACTCTATTTGCTTTCTTCCTCCATTTTTGCTGCACGCCTTTTTGATTGCATGAGTCAAATCCACTGAGACATTGCTGCCCAGGTACGCTCTGGGGTGGTTCGGATGTTGGGGATAGGCTTGTTTCATTCGGCTGGCGGTGTGAAGTTTGAAGTGCTGAGTGTGCGCTCTGAGTCAGGTGCGCTTATCATTTGGCAGGCATGTGGCCTGTGCTGAGTGTGTCCTCTTGAAAGGGCGTGCTTATCATGCGGCGAGCATGTTCAGTGCTGAGCGTGTGCACCCCAGTAGTTCCGAAACGCACCCTGGTAGTTCTGAATCAGCCCAAAAAGTGTCTGACTCACGCAAACAAAATATTGACTGCATCGCACAAAATAGTTAATGAAGCGCTCAACTGTAAACTGTATAGTTTTCTGAATCGCGCAAAATATAGTTTTCTGAAAAACACAGAAAATAGTATCTGAAGCGTGCCAAAGATCTGGATCGCGCGCCTGAGTTTCTGAAGCGCCCTGGACAATGAGCTACATGGTTGACGCTGAGCCCAGCTTACCTTCTGAATGGCCATGGGGTAAAATCCAAATCGGACCCAATCCCCACTAAAATAGACTAAAAAGGGTGGTGCACCTACCCCAAAATGGTACCATTGGTTTTGACCCACCGCCAAATGCGTGGAACTACGCAAGTCTACAGCAAACAAGTCAGTCTCACGTCCGGCTGTTTCCCTCTCTCGCAACATGCGACGCAGCCCGCCTGTAGTGGAACGGCTCGCATTGCTCCGCGAGGCGTCTTGCCTCCGTGCAGAAAGAGAGAAACCACCCGCACCTTCCCGAGCCGTTCGCTCGAACAAGCTGCTTTCGTTCTAGGCTCCGATCGTCTCAGCCCCGTCTCACCCGCGCGTTCCGATTTCAACGCGCCCCAAGCCACTCCGAGCCACTCCGAGCCACTCCGAGCCCCAAAGCCCCAAAGCCCAACGCGCCCGTCCGACCCTGCCTCGCGCTCCAGGTCCGCGCCGCTGAGCACCTCTCACGGTTGCAAGACTCCCTCAGAAACCCCATGGACCCGATGAAACTTCCTGACAGTCTGCCTGGTCCAAAGTCAAGACTGGAAAATCTCTGGAGCCAGAAAATCTGTGCTCAGCCCACAACACAAACGCTGAGCAGACCTCGGATGCGGGCTCTATGTCCAATCGGATGGACTTTGGAGTCTGCCGATTTGTGCGGAGCCAATTGCCACAGGGTTCCATCAAAAGGCCAAGACTGAGCCGCCAGGCGAAAGGGCAAGTTGTGTTCACAAAACCCAAGCCTTATGAGTTAAGATGAAACTTATTCTGAAAAAAGAAGGAAGCCAACTGTTTACGAGAACGCCCATGGTTTGTCTCAAAGGGAACCATAGGTTTCGGTGTCCTTGAATATCATCCAAAAAACGAAACCCTGACACAATAAAAATACACGCCCACATGCGTAGCTTGTCTTTTTTCGGAGTTATTTTTGGGTGCGGATTTATTTTGGGAATTGTTTTTCGTTTTTTTTTTTTTTTTCCGTTTTTCGGCCAGGCCAGCAAAGTGTCGTATTTTACAGCATGTTCTCGCGAAATTGACGCATTTTACACTAGCCCGTCAACATCCCCCGCATGTCCCACCAACATCCCTAGCATCACCCACAAATCGTGTGACGGGGTCAAAGAAATGATGATTCAAGTAGGAGGGCATGTCAATCCCTGTAAAAAAATATAAAAAGCAGCGGGGGGGTTGGGGGCTGCCGCCCACGATGTTGTTTGCAGAAGTGATGATTTGAATAGGGGTGCAATTAAATCTCTGCAAAAAGTCTAAAAAGTAGCGGGGGGGTTGGGGGGGGCGGCAGCCCCCCCCCATGATGGTCGAAGAATTGATGATTCAACTAGGGGTGCAACCCCCCCATGATGTTCGAAGAATTGATGATTCAACTAGGGGTGCAACTAATTAAATCTCTGCAGAAAATCTAAAACGTAGCGGGGGGGTTGGGGGGGGCCGGCAGCCCCCCCCATTGATGTCGGAAAAACGCCACCTGCCGAAGAGGAACTGGGAATGCAGAGGATGCGAAAAGCCGAAAAGCCTAGAAGCCCAGAAGCCGAGAAGCCAAGAAGCCGAAAAGCCAAGAAGCCAAGAAGCCAAGAAGCCAAGAAGCCAAGAAGCCCAGAAGCCGAGAAGCCGAGAAGCCGAGAAGCCAAGAAGCCAAGAAGCCGAAAAGCCAAGAAGCCAAGAAGCCGAGAAGCCGAGAAGCCGAGAAGCCGAGAAGCCAAGAAGCCAAGAAGCCGAAAAGCCAAGAAGCCAAGAAGCCGAGAAGCCAAGAAGCCAAGAAGCAAAGAAGCCAAGAAGCCAAGAAGCCAAGAAGCCAAGAAGCCAAAAGCGAAAAAAAATCCCAAAAAAAAACGAAAAAGATTCCTAAAATAAATACCCCTCCGTTATTTTTTGTGCAGTTTTACAGAGAAACCAAAAGCAAAACCGTTGCGCCATTGTGCGAGCCCCCTCAAAAGAGGCACCCATATCCAAAAACGGACCCCACAGTCCTCCCCTGTCACCGGTGCTCCGAGGGGCGATGACGTTGGTCTCGGTCCAGTTACCGGCCCAATGGATGCGCTGCTGCAGCACTTCCATGTCCTCCCAAAATGCACCATTGGACCAGTCCATCACATGGATACACATGTGTATATATATATATACAACACTATATGTATGAATGTATCAATGTATGAATGTATGAATGTATAAATGTATACATGTATGAACGTATGAATGTATGAATGTATGAGTGTATGTATGAATGTATGTATGTATGTATGTATGAATGTATGAATGTATGAATGTATGAATGTATGAATGTATGAATGCATGAATGTATGAATGTATGAATGTATAAATGTATACAAGTATGAACATATGAATGTATGAATGTATGAATGTATGAATGTATGAATGTATGAATGTATAAATGTATACATGTATGAACGTATGAATGTATGAATGTATGAATGTATGTATGAATGTATGTATGAATGTATGTATGTATGTATGAATGTATGAATGTATGAATGTATGAATGTATGAATGTATGAATATATGAATGTATGAATGTATCAATGTATGAATGTATGAATGTATAAATGTATACATGTATGAACGTATGAATGTATGAATGTATGAATGTATGTATGAATGTATGTATGTATGTATGTATGAATGTATGAATGTATGAATGTATGAATGTATGAATGTATGAATGTATGAATGTATGAATGTATGAATGTATGAATGTATGAATGTATAAATGTATACATGTATGAACATATGAATGTATGAATGTATGAATGTATGAATGTATGAATGTATGCATGAATGAATGAATGAATGAATAAATGAATGAATGAATGAATGAATGAATGAATGAATGAATGTATGAATGTATGAATGTATGAATGTATCAATGTATGAATGTATGAATGTATAAATGTATAAATGTATACATGTATGAACGTATGAATGTATGAATGTATGAATGTATGTATGAATGTATGTATGAATGTATGTATGTATGTATGTATGAATGTATGAATGTATGAATGTATGAATGTATGAATGTATGAATGTATGAATGTATCAATGTATGAATGTATGAATGTATAAATGTATACATGTATGAATGTATGAATGTATGAATGTATGAATGTATGTATGAATGTATGTATGTATGTATGTATGAATGTATGAATGTATGAATGTATGAATGTATGAATGTATGAATGTATGAATGTATGAATGTATGAATGTATGAATGTATAAATGTATACATGTATGAATGTATGAATGTATGCATGAATGAATGAATGAATGAATAAATGAATGAATGAATGAATGAATGAATGAATCAATGAATCAATCAATCAATGAATCAATAAATTTACGAATAAATGAATGCATGCATGTATGCATATGTATGTATATGCATGTATGTGTATGTGTATGTGTATGTGTATGTGTATGTGTATGTGTATGTGTATGTGTATGTGTGTATGTGTATATGTGTATGTGTATGTGTATGTGTATGTGTATGTGTATGTATGTACGTACGTCCGTACATACCTATGTATGTATGTATGTATGTATGTATGTGTGTGTATGTATGTACGCACGTATGTAGGTTTGTATGTATGTACGTATGCATGTATCAAATGTTCAATTTGTATGTATGATTGTATACATGTGTGTATGTGTGTATGTATGTATGTATGTATGTATGTATGTATGTATGTATGTATGTATGTATGTATGTATGTATGTATGTATGTATTTATGTATGTATGTATGTATGTATGTATGTATGTATGTATGTATGTATGTATGTGTATGCGTACGCATATGTATAAGAATATGTTGTTGTATATGTTTCTGTATATGACTTGTATATGTATGTGTATATGTATATGTGTTGTATATGTTTATGTATATGTTTATGTATATGTTTATGTATATGTATATGTATATGTATATCTATATGTATATATGCATATACGTATGTCTATGTAGGCATAATTATGTGTATATATATGTAGGTGTATGTATATGTATGCATATGTATGCATATGTATGTATATGTCTGTGTATGTATGTGTATGTATGTCTATGTATGTATCTGTATGTATATGTATGTATACTTATTATATGTATGTATATGTATGTGTATGTATGTATATGTATGTATATGTATGTATATGTATGTATATGTATGTATATGTATGTATATGTATGTATATGTATGTATATGTATGTATATGTATGTATACGTATGTATATGTAGTTGTATGTATATGCATGTATATGTATATGTATGTATATGTCTGTGAATGTGTGTATACGTGTGTGTATGCATGTATAAATTTTGTCTCTGTATGAGTTTTTGTATATGTATATGTACATGTAGTGTGCAGTATGTATAGGTATGTGTTTACGTTTATGTGTATGTGTTTGTATCTGTGTATGTATGTATGTATGTATGTATGCATGTATGTATGCATGTATGCATGAATTCATGAATTCATGCATGCATGTGTGTGTGTGTGTGTGTGCCTGCTTTTTATGCATGTATGTATGTATGTAGGTAGGTAGGTATGTTTGTATGCATGTATGTACGTACGTAGGTAGGTAGGTATGTATGTGTGTGTGTATGTGTGCGTATGTGTATGTGTGTGTGTATGTGTGCGTATGTGTATGTGTGTGTGTATGTGTGTGTGTGTCACATAGCATCCAAAGGGACTCCCTGCTCGGAAATGTGATGTCCATCAGCCGTCCCACATGGGTCGCTCAGACCCCCTTGGGGGGGGTTCGACTTCCGAATCTTAGCGACAGCCACGGCCGAGAAGCCGCATGACGTGCACTGCGACCCAACCCATCCTCCGTGGAATGCACCGTGTAGGCAAAGTGACTGGTCCTCATGGCGTGATAAGGCCAAACGCAGCAGCAAAAGGCCAACGAAACATCCTTCGAATCTTCCACATGAGCCGTCAACAGTCATTGTGCCAAAACAAAGTCAACCATATTTTAGTGAGACCCAGCATTTACTCTGAAAGTGGTAATGCTCCCTGGGTTTAGTGGGGAATCATCACTTTTGGTTGTGAACACCCAACTATTACTAGACTAAACTGGGGTTGGTTAATATGGGGTCAACATTAACTTGGTGAGACCCAGCGTTGACTCTGAGAGTGGGTAACTTGGTGAGTGCACAGCAAACCATCACGTCCTTCCCTCCACAAGACCTTCGATGCCTGGCTAGGCGTGGCATGCGGCAAGCTCTCGCCGAGTGGCCCATCTTGCACCAGGGCCACGTGGATGGCGCCGGAGTCGTAGCCCGAGGAGAGGCCGATGAACATGGGATGGATGGCATACTGCACGCGCTGGCGCACCGCCCGGGCAAACGCCGCCTGGAAGTCTGTGGTGTCCTGGCACTAAGCGCAAAAAATGCGCGCCCCACAACTCTACGGGGTTGAGTTCCCGTTCTTTTCAAGCATCGTTCCTTTGAACAACCGGCTGTTTCTTCCGGGCTTTTGTTGGTGGTTTCCTGAAGGGAAGGATCCCTGGAAAGAATGGGGAAGCGTCCCCTAGGAAAACGCGTGTTGCCGTGGCCCTGCGCTCTGCTCCGCAGTCGAGTCCTGCTTGAATTGCCTCAGGTCGAACTCATGCAAGGCGTGCCGCTCGACTCTCCCGTCATCCAGGTGGATGATCATGATGGTGTTGGGGTCCACCATGTGCACCTTCCCTGCACAAAACATGCGAGAAAGAAAAAAAGGAAGAAGAAAAAAAACGAATGCGCGATCAAGGCGCTCTGAACTCCAGAACCCTCAGCACCTCATGCCCCACACCCTAGCGATCCTTGTGGCAGGCCGATCCGCAGCAGCGCGCTGCGGTAGCTCGCCACATGGAAGCCCTGGAAGCCTCGGGATCCAACGTCCACTGGTACGCCTTACCTTGCTAACACGCCCAAACGCGCCCACCAAACAGACCCACTAAACGTGCCCAGCAAACGCACCCACCAAACCACCGGCTTTTCAGTTGGACTGTTCCCCTCACCCCCTTCCAAAAAGAAGAACTTCCCATGTCGTGCGATGCGAGGCGCTGGAGAACCACAGCGGCTTGGTGGAGAAGATGTCCGTGGACAGCACCAGCCGGCTCCTGGGGAAGTCCAGCAGCGCCAGCGCGAACTCCCCGTCCAGGAAGCCTCAAGACTTCAGGGCGAACAAGGTGTGGACCGTGGGGATCGCGTCGGCCCGTGGTTTTCCTTGTTTTTATAGGGGGTGTTGGGGGGTGTTGGGGGGGGAGGGGGCTGGGAGGGAAGAAGAGATCTTTCTTTCAGCCTTCAGCCTTCAAGAACATGCCGCCGGGTCGCTACCCGTCGGTCCTTTTTTAACAGAATTTGCGTTTCGCCTAGCGTTTTTACTCGTTTTCAACAGCAAAAAGCGCTTCCCGCGCACGGTCGTTCTAGCGTTACCATTTATTGAAAACGTTGGCAGGCGTGAGGAATCAGGCACCTCGGTTTCGCGTTTTTTTTGGTCTTGCTACGAAGCCTTTCTTGAATGCTGCGTATGGGAATGTTTTTGGCCGCCGCCAGCTTCTGTGGTCCAAAAACACAGATTTCTGGGGACCCAACATGTTTCGGGTTTTTGACGTTTTTTTTGCCCCTGATTTAGCAGCGAGTCCATGGTCACGGACATGGCTTCCGCGAACGAAGCACCAGGGCCCAAGTAGCCACACAAAAAAAGCTGCCGGGTGCTGGCGCAAATCATCAGCGAACGACTGGCTCGTGCCGTGAACATAATGCTGACCATGTGCTGGAAGGGATCACTTGGGCGGGGGTGCTGACCATGTGTTGGAAGGGATCACTCGCTTGCGAAGAGTGCGAAACATGGGAGTGTGTAAAACGTGGGTTTTGCACAAGAGTGCGAAACATGGGAGTGTGTAAAACGCGGGTTTTGCACTGACAGTTTCCGACCCGACTGCAAGAACATACTTTTGAAAGTTGTTCACTCCCCCACCCCATTTTTCGAAGACAAGCCTCGTCCTCAAAGAAAAAAGGGAAGGGCCAAGGAATCCGTCGGCTGTCGTCTGTGACTTTCTGCGAAGCGCTGCATCTTTGCCACACAAAGTCGCCAATTGCCCGAGTCGCAAGTTTCGGCCCATCTGGTGAGGGATGTGAAGACACCCGCAAATGCGAAAGTTACCCGCAATGAGCGTGTGAAAAGTGCTTCGTCCCTGTTTGAATTGCTATTTTTGAGGACAAATTTCTCAAAGATCTTGCAATTCACCTCGTGGGAAGCTGAAAATCCTCCACGCAAGACCACCCGTTTTCTGCGGAAACGAAACCAAAAGGCCGTCAACCTTCGCTCCACCCCAACAAAAAACAAAACTTGCTGGTTCCCAGGCAATTTGTCTGAATGACCCCAAAAAGGCCATCCACCTGGTGCTCTCCTTGTTTCGGGGCATCCAACCCCCCCGGGCCCTCGGGCCCCCGGGCCCCCGCAAAGCCGAGCCGAGGGGCGCGGGAACAAAGCGCCCCGCTCAAGGTACAGCGGCAGCAGGGCCTCCCCGTCGCTCTTGGCGCTGGGCAAAAGCGAGCGGAAGTTGTAGATCTCCCCGTTGTAGACCAACACCTCGCAGAATTTGCGGTTGCGGTTCTGACATCCCTTCAAGGAGCCAACAAGAGGCCAACACCAGGTGTCCCCGATTTTTCTCAGGGAACCAATTTCTGAGGGAAACCTGGATCTTTCGGGCAGGGGACAAAAGACAAAGAAAACCAGTCACACCGAGAAGAAATGGAAGACGAAGAAACACGGCAAACCCCCCCCCCCCCACCAGTTCAGGGGGTTCCTGGAGTTCCCCTCAGTTGATCAATTTGCTGGTGGGGTCCATTGAAAGGATCGCCACTTTCGGAGGTTCCCACTTCGGAAAAAGAAAAAGAACTGGAACAAAAAAGGTGTGTCGCTGTTTGAGGGTGACCCAAAAAAAATGTGTCGTTTCCTTGTTGCTGCCTCGTTAAAACCACAAAAAGGGGGTGCCCTCCAAAAAAAAAGACACACCCGGATGTTGAATGTTGAGGGACCCTTTTAGTGGACATCATGGGACCAACCAGCAGGAGAGGATTCCCCCCAAAAACAAAACATATCCCCATTGAACGCAGAACAAAGAAGTTCCTTGTGATGCGATGTCAACCCAAGGTGGGGTTTCCGGCTTCCCCCCGCGACTCGTGGAGTCCAGAAGCCTGGGACTTTTCACTTTTGGGATGGCTGCTGGTCCTTTGCGTCCGAACTCGGCGGTCAGGTCTTAACCAAACCTGGCATTCCTCTTTCAGCAGAGCTATGCGCAGACAAGCCTGATGCGAACAGCCGGCGCGGCTTCTTTCGGAGGACCCTCTTCAATGTGAACCCTTCGACTTTTTTCTGTTCGGGAACTGGCCAGCCCAAGAGAGGGGAGGCCACACCCAACTCGCGCCGAAGGCGACCGCCCGCGCCTGGCCATCGGCGGTGGTGAAGGGCTGTGGCACGCGCTCGCCTCGGGGCCAGCGAGGCGCTTTTGCGACGGGACGGGACTGATGCGAGGCGAGCAGAAACCCTCAGAAACGTCTGCATGGCACAGAGATTCATCACCCCTCAGGCCGCCAGCACCCCCTCCCAGCAACTTGGGACGTGCGCTGCACGGCCAAGGAAAGATAGACTCCTCTTCCGAAACAAGTAGTTTTTTGCCTTGCGGAAGAGCTATCCTTCCACTGGAGCCTCAAATCGCGAGCTTTGCTCGCAACGCAGCTGCCGAACCAGGCCCCAGGCCCTCCCAAGTGAGCTTTAGAAACGAGGCGCCGGTCATGTGGAGCAAGTTGTGGACAAATGTGAAGTTGTGAAGGTTGACTCGTGTCGTAAGGTCTGGCCCCCTGGGCCGCATGAAGAAGTTCACATAGGTCAGATTCGACAGGAGCCAGCTGCTGACGAGGAAGGAGCACATGGCGCAAACGGCCGAAACCCGGCTCTACAAAGGGCTACTGGTAGACTTGGGATGTCCCTTGCAACATGTTACACATCGCTGGAGCAAATAAAAAATCACTGAACAAAAAAAATCAACTATCCAAAAAATAACGTTTACATAATAAAAAAACAACGCTGTGCGCTCCGTGTGGTTGCTGTGGCCTCCGGCTCAATGCACCTGCTGCTGAGGTCTTTTTGGGGTGCAAAACCACAGCGAGCTGCCCCGCAACGAGTCTTCCAAGCTTTTCCCCCGAAATGTGCGCCCTGCAGGAACACAAGTTTCAGCCCTCTTGAGCCTTGGGAAATGGTTCGAGGCGTCTTTCGTGCAACGCACAAAGCACTCGGCAAGGTGGACCCCTTGGGCTTCGGCCCGGATGATCAAACAAAGGGACCCTGTTCATCGTAGTTCCCTGGCCTCTGCAATGCAACAAATAAGTGTATATATACATATATATATATTATATATAGATAAGGTAAAAACTAACAAAACAACTAGGTGCATATATATATATATATATATATATATACACGCATAGATACACATATTGAAAGGGTGTCTTGTGTTCATCAAGAAAAGCCAGCGTGAACAAGCCATGTTGCCAGTCTCCTCTGACTCTGTCCCTGCCACCAGCAGGGCACCTGGGCAGGACGCTCTCCGCATCTTGCAGCTTCCGGTACATTTGTTCAGCATATCCCCAAGATCCTGAAAGAAGATCGCTCCGTATTTGTGTTTTAAGTCTCCTGCGCTTTCTTGAAGTTGGACCCCCCCTTGTTTGAAAGGGAAGCGCAAAAAAAAGAATGCAAAATACCAGGGGAACAAATCAAGCCAATAGAATTTTCAGGGGAAGAGTTGCCCCCCCTTTTTCCTTCGCTTTCCTTCCCTTCTCGCCCTCGCCATCCGGGCCCCGCGCCCAGCGCGCTCACGGAGGCCGCAGACGCCCTCCAGCGGCGCAGCGCCAAGCGCGCCTCATCCGTCGCTCGCTCGCTCGGCGAGGCTTGGAGCCCTCATGGCGAGCGTGGCGAGCGGCCCTGGAAAAGCCACCAACAAAAAACCACAGGGGTACAACCCCTGGGGAGTGTCAATTGTGTCTTAGGGGTGCAACACCCCGAAAAAAACCAAAAGACACTTTTCAGGGGTTAAAAATGTTTAGGCAGCGCCCATGCTTTTGGGCCCCGGGTTTTTTGGCAACCCTTTGGGGTCCGGTTTTTCGGTCGCCGAGAAGCGGGTGGCCGTTTTTTTGGGTTGCCTTTTTGGCTTGTAAGACTGGCTTTTGTTTCTGGACTTTTTTGAAGGGATGTGTGGAAATTGGTCGCCTTTTCCTTCTCTTGATGCAAATAAACTCTGCGCTTGGTGCACCAATTATGGTTGTGCCGGTTGGGATTGTCACAGACTCATGTGAATCTGTGGACCAACGCCCGAGGCCCAGCAGCAGCATGTTGCGGCCAGCGTTTCCGCCAACTTTCTTGCTTCACTTGCCATGGTCATCACATCCTTTACCTTTTACGAGCCAAGCGCGCGTCATTTGCTTTCATCGCGCGAAGGCATGTGGGGGTTGGTCAATCTTCCTGATGGGCAACACTTCCCATGTCAGTCGAAATATCAACTCGTTTTGGTGGTTCCCATGGTCATTCCATTTATCACGGATCTTTTGATCAGCCAAATCCCATCTTGGTGGTTCCAAAGATCATCCCATACGGCTCTGTTGCATCAACCAAATCCCATGTGCAATATCCCTTAGTGGTGGTTCCTATGGTCATCCCATGTACCACACATCTTTTGCACCCCAACGAGCTTCCGACGCAACTAAAAAAAAAACGCCGCATCTTTTCAACCAACTCCCATGCGCATCACTGTTGAAATCAGCGAATCACCGCGAGCGTCCAACGCAAAAAAAAACGGCGAAAACGGCCGGCCGACCCGCCCGGGCGCGGCTGAGCAGCGCCGCTGGGCTCCCGCGCTCCTGCTGCCCGGGCGCCACCGGCGAGGGCCACCGCGCCGGCGCCCAGCAGCAGATCTGCGCCGGGCCCGGCCGGGAGGCCAGGCGCAAAAAAAAAAACGGGACAGAATCAAAAAGAGGCACAAAAAGAAACCAAAGACTTGCCGAGGACAGCGACGTATTGGTTAGTAAGGATCCCAAGTGGATGACCATCCCTGGTAACCTCAAGTAAAGAAACCGGTCTTTGGGCCATGTCATTGCCATGGCCTCGCTATGGTTGGTGGAGTTGGTGGACATAAATACCCTAAATGATGTCCATGGGGTGCCCGGCTAAAACTCGTACTATGAGAAAAGATGGCCCTTTGCAGGGGACGTCGCTGGAAGATTATATACGATTTACCCCAATGTAATTTCATCGGAGTTGATGCAAAGGCTACATGGGAGGACCATCAGGAAACCACCGAAAAAGGGGATTGCTTTCCCCAAACGGGGAAAAGTTACCCATGGTCATTTGGGGGCCGAACCGAATATGGGTCTGCCCTTCTTTGAGGGTACCCTTTCTGGGGTTTAAAGGGAGACCACCAGGAAAATCGCCGCCATTTTGTAGGTCCACTCTCAAAACAGACAAATCTACGTCGATCAGCGGTGATTCACCCGGCGAATCAGCATGCCACGAGCTGCCTTGTGGCGCGAAGGCCCAAGCGCTCGCCATGGTCGGGGAGCTGCAGAAACTCGGTGCGTCGCGGGAAGTCTGCGGAAACTTCGTGGGATGGGAAAAACAATCGCGTGCGCGCCCGAAGCTCAGCGGAAGATGGGGTTTCGGATGCTCGGAAGATGGGGTTGCGTTGGAGTTTGGCCTCGCGCCGAGCCCTCCGGGCGGAAAAGGAAAGCCAAGCTGGGCCCTGCCGGAGCTCAGAGAGGCACTCTTTGAGTGCCTTGAGCCGAGTCTCGCCGAAAACAGGTGTTGCATGCATCGCAAAATCCCAAAAGCTGCGTGTGCCAAGCAGGCAGACTTGAAGAAACGACAAGCTCAAGCAACATCCGCTGGACCCGGAAGCATGCGCCCTTCCGATGGCATCACGTGCCTCGTTCCCTCAACAGGAGCCTTGGTTTGCAACTGGTTGTGTGAAGGGTGGAGGATTTTAAGGTCGCGGGATTTTGCTCAGATGTGTCTTCGCCCAAAAACCCAAGGCTGGTGAACAGCGCTCTGTTCCTGGCAGAAGACAAAGGTTCAACCGCAGAGTGGCAAGTGACACTTTCGGCCCGACACTTGCTTCTTCCAAGGGAAGAAATGATGGGACGACCAGATTCCGACAAACCCGATCAAGGACAAAGCCCCCCATCTTCGCCATCCTTCTGGGTTTTCACACCTTCTTCTTCGGGGGGGCAACGGATCGGTCTCAGCCCCGCGGCCAAACGGTCCCCCGCCTCGCCGCAAGTGAACTGCCTGCCAGGCGCGGGCAGGGGAAAGGCCACGGTCGACGTGATGGCAAAAAGACGATAGAAGGAACAAGGCAAACAACTCGTTTTTATTTTTCCAATTCAACAAAAAGGGCCAGAGAAATGTCAGCAAGCCGGCAGGAAAACAACTGCTAAAACCACCACCCCTCCCTCCCCCCACACACACACACACAAAGACACCACCTACACACACAGACACAAAAGAAAAATCGAAGAACGGCCGGCGCCCCCAAAAAACGCCCCATCCGCCTGGTGGCCTTGTCGCAGCAGTCGGTGCCCACGGCCCAGAAGTCCACGGTGCCGCTCTGAGAATCGCGAGCGAGCGAGCGCTCGGCTTTTGGCGGCTTGGGGGACGGGGGGGTGCCTCGTTTTTGAGGTGGCGTGATTCGGTTTTCGGTTTTCTCAGGTGGTGTGAGTTGTTTTTTGAGGTTTTTTGAGGTGGTGTTTTTTGTGAGGTGTAGACAAACCCCAAACGGAAACATGTTTGCGCCAGTTTGGGCGTCCTGCTTTTCAGGGTGGCCTTTCTTTTGGGTGGGTGGTAAAGGACAACCGAAGCCATTGTGGGGTTCACCTGTTCTAAGACACCGTAGAGTTTCAACAAAGGGGCCACAACCCCTTTCTTTTCGGAATGACGACATTTTTTTGCTGAGGGTCATGGAGACTCCAGGTGCAGCCGGGCATGCATCTCAATCAGCAATCTTTGAATCACCGCCATGTCCAGAGGTAGTTCCCTGTTCAAATTCATGGGCATCTGTTCAGATGTTTCTTCGTGCCTTGCAAAATGTGGCTGATGCCATGCGTTTGCCGGCGGTTTCCAGGCCATTGCTCAACCCCAGCTGCCGCGCTGAAAGTTCCAGAGAAGGGGTTCTTAGAGGGGCACAAATGAGCAATGCCTCAACCACTTGCCCAGGCCAGCGGACCCCAAACCTATCGGATCCGCCAGGATGTCATACAGGTAAGTTGCCCAAGACAACGGTGTTGCAAGTTGTTATACTGCAATTGGTTGTATCGTAGCGAAGCTCATACCAAAGATGCATCCTACAGGTTGCATGTGCAAAATGCTCGAAGTTGGCCGCGAAGGTGCATATCCGAGATAGGTGCAATCTGAGGCACCTGTTGGTCGGGTTCTATCGCAAGTCTTTTGCGTGAAGTTTCTCTTCGAATTCATCCCACGGCCCGAAGAATTGCATACGAAGGCCTCTGGCGATTAGACATTCCCGCCCTTCCTCAATTGAAAGTTGCAAAGTAATCAGCCTCCCCCTTTCTATTTGGAGGTGCCTTCACAATGGCCAGACCATGCCATGGGTTCAACCCGCCACCAAAATGCCATGCCACGCCTTTTCGCCTCCTTTGCATCACTTGTGCCCATTGCGATGGCCTCCGGCATCACGAACTCACCCTCCATGGCCACCTGGTCATGAGCCAAAATCAAACCAGGATATGGACTGCAGGTTGAGTCCTGGCTTCCATTTACCAGGGCAACCCATTTTGGGTACCCATTTTGGATCCACACCCACCCGAGAAACCCAAAAACAACACAACTCAGCCAGCCCCTTTGTGCGGAGATCCAGACGGACGTTCTTCTGTGCAGTGGAGAACCATTTTGTGTTGCGCAGCCAGGACGGTGGAGGGGGATGGGCGGTCCAGATCTGCTCGGAGTCGAGATTTTGCCCCTTCGAAGAGTGGCACTTTTTTCCCTGGCCACAGGACTTGGACTGTGAGCCTCCTGAAGTGCTCAGCATCCAGCATCCACGGTGTGACCAAAAAAGGGCCACCGAGATCAGAAACTGCAGCATCTGAGGGCTTCACAGAAAGTGAGCGAAATGAAAAGGAACACCCGGGCTTTTAAACCACTATTTGGGGCTGGGTGCCCCTTTTTGGGTGGTTTCAAAAGAAAACTGGAAAACCGCCATTTTGGGGGTTCACCGATTTTAAGAGACACCCAGTTGAAAAACTGTTTCATGCACACACGAGCGCGCGCCTCCTGCAAGCCCTTCTGATTCCGCAGCGGCTGGCCTGACGACGAAGGACTCGCGGCTTACTCGCCGCGACTTGTCCGGACCAGGATCTGGCAAGGGCTCGTCCCAAAAACAACCAAGCACCTGCAGTTCCCCACTCCGAATGCTTTGTTCTCAAGACTATGACGTGTTCTGACGTATGCTCTCTTTGTTTCCCCACTCAAGTATTTTACATTGACTTTGTTTCCCAATCCCCACAACTTCAGAAGAACAAGCAAGGGCACATGGGAGGAGAACACCAACGAGACGCCAATGAAACACCCATGAGTACCAAAATGCAAATGCGAAAGAAAAGGAGAAAGAAAAAAAAGAAGAAGAAAAAAGAGGAAGAAAACAAGAAGAAGAAGAAAAAGAAACGTCATTTCCCCTTAACGGAGACGATCTGCACCTCCAGTGCTGGCCCCCCCCCCCCCCCTGGCTTCGGCTTCGCGCTTCAGCCGCGCCTACAATGGGCGCGGCGCAGAAGGTGCGGCGGCTGCGGAAGGAGACCATCTGGCCGCTGAAGGCAAAACTCGCGCCGGGCTTTTGACCAAATGGTTTTGGGTCAAAATGAAACCAGAATGTGGACTGCAGGTTGAGTCCATGTTTCCATTTACCAGGGCAAGCCATTTTGGGGTTACCCTAGTTTTGACCCACAGCCAAATGGCTGTGGCTGAAGAAAAACGGAATTCAAAATGGGTTGCCCTGGAAAGTGGAAACATGGACCAAAACCTGCGGTTTGCCCCTCCGGTTTAATTTTGAGCCACACCCAAATGAGTATGGGCCATTTTTAAGCCACCATATGGACCGCAGGTTTTAGTCCATGTCTCCATGGCCGATCTGCGGCCGACTTGCCGGGGTTCACGGCTGGGAACCCCATGTGAAATTGTGGGGCAGTGAGAGAAACCGGTTTGGTTCCAAAGGCTTCACAAAGGCCAAGCTGATTGAACCACCAACACTTTGCAGGACTTTTCGGCCCCTCCGGCAGAAAAATCGACCCATGTTCCGGGGAATTTCCGCTGTATCGAGATGGATCTTGGACATGGAGAGAAAACGCCCTCGAATTCGACTCGCGTAAGACCGTCATCAGCCAAGGAGAGCCACAGAAACCATCTCTTCTGTCTGCACGCAGCCCCACAAAGCGTATTTGACACATGTCTATCGAGATTCACCAAGGAGAGACGGAGATTGCCAATGTACTATATGTATATCTTGATATGTATAAGTTGATGTGTATATACATAACATGAAAAACAGAGAGAAAACATTACTTATATCAAAAGAGAGAGAGAGAGAGAAACAAATAGAAAAGGAGGGAGAGAGAGAGAGAGAGAGAGAGAGAAAAAGAAACAAGAAAAAAGAAGAAGAAAAAAGAGAGAACACCTTCAAACAAAAAAACAAGAGGTGAACCTGTGCGCAAGCAACTCTCCCTTAGAACAACCTGGAAGTCCTCTTCCCCCTTTCTCCCTGGGCCCTGGGCCTCGGCGGTGGCCACCTCGGTGCCCTCCTTGAAGTAGACCTCCCCGGAGTCCATGTAGCTCTGGCCCTTGGCCCTGGCGGGGTCCAGGTCCGTGTAGGACACCAAGTCCTGGCTCCGGTTCCGGTGGCGAGCGGCCAGGTTGGGCGGTTCCGGGCGCCGGGGGCCGCGGAAATCGGAGCTTCCCCAAAGGAGGGGTCGCCTCAACATGGCGGGATTGCTTGTTGGATGTCGTGTAAAAAAAATCGGAAAGCGAAAAAGTCTAAACTGATTCGCGACCCCCCCCTTCCTGGCTCACGAAATCACGAAATGGCCGAGGTTGGCGCCTGGTAAGTGTAGAAGCTAATCATGTTGTGCCCATAGTTCTGGTCTGCAGCCCAGAGCCCCAGCAGCAAGCCCAGCCTTCAGTCTGGGCCCTTCCAATTCGAGGGAACACCCGCTGAAGGAATGGTCGCCTTAGGTGAAGGAAATCCGAACAAGTCGGGGCTTACGCGTGCATCTTGCATCTTGCATCTTGCATCTCCCAAGCTGCCTCGCCAATTCGGATGAACGTTGTCACCCCGACGTCAAAGTAAATAAGGGATGTGCACCGAGATCTTGCACACACCAGGAAATATGGCTGTGAGTCAAAACCAATGCTACCACCCATTTTTGAGCCTGTTTTAGTGAAGATTGAAACGTTCACTGCCGGTACGAGATTTTGGCCCATAATCATATCCCTTCCCAGAACTTCTGCTGCTTTTTTCGGTTTTCTGGCTTTCGCCGCGCAGAATGGTTGGAAGCTTCGGACATGGGGGAGGAAAGCACCGCTGGCAGCTGGGTGAATCAACTGCTTGTTGAAACGTGAATACTTAACCCCGGATTCTGCGCACCCTCGCTTTTTTCATGGGATGGGTGCTGCCAAGAGCAATGGATCCCCTCTAAAAAAGGGGCGCACCCCCTATGAATCAACCAGTTCACCAACAGAACTACAACACTCCTGCACCACGTGGGATAGATGAAACCCTACAAGCAATGGAAAAAAACCCTTCCAATCCCACCTGGGGCGAAATGGATTTCGTCCTGTGCTCCCAAAAACAAAAATGGATTCCTAAAAAGTAATGGCAGCCCTCTATGACCCACTGGGAAATTCTGCCGCCGTAGCTTTCTGTTCCTCTTCACTTTTGGCGTCCGAGGCCGTGGCCAGAGGCAAACGCTCTGCGCCAGGAACTTCCGGCAGGGCACCTGGCGCCTGCGCGAGGCGCAAATCGGTCCCAAGATCCCGATTCCCAAATCCCAAGGATGGATTTCCAAAACTCCGTTCGGACTGCTTGTTTATCAAGCAGAGTTCAAAATGCCAACTGCTAAAAATCCCAAGATCCATAGATGAGCAAGAATCCATGGGGATTGGTGGTGCATCCGAATTCAAGTCTCCAACTGCCAAACATCCCAAGGGGTGCGGCCGACCAGAAACCCTTGGGGAGTTTTGAATGAACCTCAAATGACATACCCGATTGCCCCGAACTCAATTGTCATGCATGGAGGCTATATGAACAATATGATATGTATATATATATATATATATATGCGTATGTAAATATGGAAATATATATATATATAGATATATACATACGTGTACAGGCTACTCCAAACAAGGCTGGATGATCTCCCGCCAACAGCGAATTGAATGCCCGGTCCCGGTCAGCCACGCCTTGTTCCCCCCACCCCCCCACCCCCCCACCCCCTTCCCCCCCCCCCCCCACAAACAAATAAAAACAGACAACGCCGATCGTCATTGGCCAGCCTCCAACCTTCCCAAGTGGCAAAGGGTCACGGGTGCCATAATAATTTGCGTTCCAGAAAGGGATGGAAGGATGGAAAAAAGGGGCCGATCAACCCTCGGGATGTCTTCGGGGCAAACCCAGCCAGGTTTACGACAGTGGGCAACGTTCAACTCTAAGGCGAGACCTAACCCAGCATACCAGGACGCCCTTCCTAACGAGATGACTTGGGGCGAACATTAGCGAAGCAACAACTTTGCGGCGGGCAACCTTCAGTGTACCCGGCATCAATCCCAAACATATTCAGTGGAGCGAGGGTCCAGTCCGTGCCGCAATAGAAGCTCCAAGTGAAACCGTCGCATCGACGGAAGCTTGTGAGCTGCCTCCCTGGGTGAAAAGGGGGCGAAAGCGCGAACGGCATCCTGCCTGAACATGAGCACAGTCGCCTGAGCTCCGAGGCAAACAAAGGAGAAGTGGATTAAGACGGATCAACAAATCCTATTGCAGAACCTTGGAACTGGATCAACAACTGGCTGGCTCCGCAAATGGATCATTCAGGACTGAAACCACCAACAAGAGAACAATAAACAGAAGTAAAAAGTCGGCAACCATCAACGGAACTGTTTATGATCATCATCAACCAAACCACCAATTTAACAAAATCACAAAACTACCAAGAACAAAAACATCAAAGGAAGAAACCGCAAAAACAAGGGTTCCAACAACCAAGTGGACCCCACCCGCTTTTGGGTGTCCAAATCCTGTGGGCCGGGCCCAGGTGAAGCCCGCGCAGGCCCCCAGCGCCGGCAGCAGGGCCAGGGCGGCCACGCGCCAGCTCTGGTACCTGGAAGCCAGCTCCGCACTTCCAAACGCTGCCGTTGGGGTCCTCCCTTTGGGGTGGTTCTTCCGTTCTTTTGGAGCCGAAAGCTTCACCCTTGAATGTTGGTGGGTTCTAAAGGGAAACTAACCGTTGCTCGCCATTTTGGGGGGTCTCCAACCTGAAAAAACACACACGCACTCACACACAGAAAGGAGTCCCTTAAGTTGGGCAACTCGAGATTCTCTTAATGCGTAAACCACAGAAGAAACAGCTAGGTCCCCTCTTCTGCCGAGACAAAGTGCCGGACAACCTGCCGGACAAGGTACGGGACAAGAATGTCCAGGAAGTTATCCGGAGAGTTGTCCGGAGGGTTGGGGTTGTCCGGCGGGTCCGAGCATTTTGCGAAAAAAATCAAGTTGTAACCCCCTGCTTTCCGATAAATTCCGAATCCAAAAAAAACCTCGGCTGGTCCCGGGTGTTTGTCCTGGCTTGAGCACGACCTTATGCGAAGCGGGGTTGTTGGTCCAAAAAGGCGCCTGCCATTGGGCATATGATCGGAATAGATTTGTGTTTTAGTTTTGTTGGTATGGGTCACATTAAAACACCGGGGAACCGCAATTTTTAGTCCACTTCCCATTTTGGGTACCTATTCTTGACCCACAGCCATATATACATAGAGAGAGAGAGAGAGAGCGAGAAAGAGAAAGCTACGCACAAAGGCAAAAAGGGGCCGCTGGCTTTGTCGCTTGCTTTGGGTTTCTCATCGTGCCCATTCGATACCCCCAGAAGTGACGAGGCAAATGCCATGTGAAGGGCCGAGAGCTTCTCAAGCGAATGGGAGTTTCTGCCACACAAGCAGGGAATGAGGGCTATGGATTCCTAGAGCATCCCCTTCCGGTTCATTCCCAAAGCCGGGAAGGTCATTCCCTATCACACCAGGTTGCTTCCATGCCAACATGGAGTGAAGTTACATTGTCACAATAGACAATCATAATTTGTCAACTGAATGGTAACTTGTCAGCCAAATTGGCTGAAACTTGCTTCTTAGATGTCTTTTTGGAAGGAACGACCCCTTCCATGCCTTACGTAAGAACGCTGCGGATGCGGACGGCCGCCCGCCGATCGGTCGATGCCGCGAGCCTCCAACTACCGAAGCTCCAGTAGTAGACGTAACCTCGGCTCCAAAACGGGGGGGGGGGGGGGGTAGGGCGTAGAACTCATATAGTTTGGGAAACGCAGGACCATGGTGTCTGCTTGTCTTGGGGAAAATTTGCTTGAAATCCAATTGAATGCTGGTGGGTGCCAACCTGACGCGGATTGAGGCACTGGTGGGGCCACCGCCCCTGGACGCGCAGCGGGGGAAGGCCCCGCGCAGGTCATCACGTGTACCAGCAGGACCAGCTCAATTGAAAGAGGAAAGCTGGCCAAGGGCGTGCACTGCATCGCGGCGCCTTTTAACCGATGCAGCTTTTGAACACATACTTCCTGGGCAAAGTGCTCAGTTTCTTTCATGACCACATACTGCGCGGCCATGTCACTACCATCGTCTCATTGCCCAGTCAAGCGAAAAATCGGGGGCCTCTTTGGGCCAGCGAAAGCGAAAACTCGGCTCTCAGCCTCTTTGGGATGCCAAACTCCGCTTGGCCAGCGACATGTGGTACGCCGAGGCGGTCTTCAAGAAAATTGAAGCCCACCATTTGGATGGGTCCTTTGTCTGTTTCAGTTGGTTTCATTTGACATGGAAGAAATGGCGGTGAGACAGTTTTTTTTCTCGGACATCACAGGAACTTGGCCCAAGTGTCGATGAAGTCCTCTGAACCATACCATAGGTAGGACCTGAGTCTGAGGCACCAAGACTCAAGACCGGCAGATCTCCTCAATCTGAAGGCCAGCGGTTCCCCTACGTGTTTCGTGTCAATGCCCGAGACGAGCATTCCCCCAAAAATTGTGTTTTCCCTCCTCCTTTTAAAACCATGGGGTACTTTCAAAATATGGCTTCATCTCTGGTGCGAAGTGGACTTTGTCTATAATTGGGACAGCTTTCATGAAACACCCTTTCAAGGATTCGATTCCAACCTTTGGCACTGTGTGGCTTTTTCGCTAAGCCTTGCCGAGGTAGAGGCTTTGGCAAGCGCAGGCTGTCACCGGGCGTTGGCACGAAGTCGGCCTGGCCGCGGAAAGCCAAGGGGATTGTTATCGGGGTGTAGTCATGGGGGCTGGGGGGGAGGGAGCCCAAATAAGCCCTCAATAAGCCCTTAATAAGGCCTTAATAAGGCCTTAAGGGCTCGATAAGGCCTTCATGGGGCATCTTGTCGAAGAGATGAGAGCAAAGAGATGGCAGATCCTTGTGAGCGACTTGCTAAGGAAAAAAAGGAAAATTCTACTCTCTGCAGCTGTCATGAGATGCTGTGTGTTATGAGTTTCTGCACCTCGCTAGCCTGTCTCTGCGCCAAATGGTGCAGTCCGAAACTTGCCCGGCAAATAAGCCAAGCGGCGTGATTGCAATCATCCAGAACCTTGGTCAATCAATCTCCAGTCGCACAAATACCCGCCACAACAATGGGAAAAAATTGCAGGTCACAACGAAGATGCGCGATGCCGCGCAGCACAAAGCAGGCTGCCAGCAAAAGAGATGCCCACAGTCAGAACATCGGCCTTTTCGCTCGGCATTTCAGCCGAACGGCGCAAGTGTGGACAACGAATACGGAGCGCAAGCAGCCGTGAGCCAACAAAGTGTCTGACATGCGCATTCTGCTAAGCATTTCACGCGTGAAAAATATCGAATCCATTCGGCCAGGGACATGCAGAAATCCAAGACATCAAGAAAAGGAGCCAGAGCCCGTTGTTGCACCAAAGGGCAGAACCCCCCGAACGTCGCCCCGCGCCATGAAAGACTTTGCCAAGCCGCCACGCTGCCGCAGCCTGAAATGGAAGCCGAGCGAGTCCCCATGAATTTGTCAAGGTGAAAAATGACTGCAGCTCCTGCTGATGGATTGCAAGTCGAGGCTTGTTGGGCATCTGGATGAAATGCCAGCTGAGCACTATCTCTTTGAAGCGACATGCCATGAGCCTGTCCCGACCTTTCCTTCAGCCCGTCAACCAAAACCTGGTCGGTGGGATCCAATGGGCCAAGCTCAAAAACCGCCAATCTAGACACCTTCATGCTTGTCCATGGCACACAGGAAGCAATCAGCTTCAAGGGCAAAACCCGTCGGCCCCCAAAATGACCAAACTTGTCCCATGGTTGAAGCATCATATTTCCATGTCTTTAGCGGCCTTCCCTTTCCATCGGCCCCATGCTCGCCGCACCTTTTCATCCATGTGGCGGTGGGTCAAAACCAATGGTACCAGTTTGGGGTAGGTGAATTCACCTCCATTTTAGTCTAGAGTGGGAATTGGGATGTTCACTGGGGCCAACCGATTTGGGTTTTGACCCATGGCCATGTGGCTCTGAGCCGCCCGCATGCGGGATTCCGGATGCGCCTGCCATGAGGGCGGTGTCCACCGGGATGAGGCCATCGCCCGCCACGCCGAAGCTGCTGCCGGACAACGGCAGGTACGAGGCCAGCGCCACCACCTGAGAAAAACGGCGCGGGGCCGGACGAGGAAAATTCGGCGCACGGAGATGTATGTGTTTGTTTTTTTCTATACATATGTAGATACATACATACATACATACATATGTGTGTATATATATATATATGTATGCTATGCGTGTATATATAGATATATATATATATATGTACTATACAATACACCTGCGAGCAAACGTGGAGACCGCCTACGAAATTGCGAGGTGAGTCCTCGAAGCGGGCTGCTTCCGGACTCGCCTCCTCCAGGATGGTGCTGCGGCTTTGCTCGTCGTCCCAGACCTTCGAGCCTCGATCGGGAGATCTGCCCTCGATCGGGGTTACGACCACACGAAAACCTCACCTTGATCTTCCAGGACGGAAAAGCAGGCCTTTGGCCGAACTTCCATTTGGAGCCAAGGTCAAAATCAAGAAGGACCCTGGTTTTGCGGGTTTTTGGAAGACCAAGGTAAGATCGAAATGCTCCACTGACGCCTTTGGCTTCTCCAAAAGTGGCTCACCGGCAAATTGCAACTGTTGAGGTACTTTGGAACATGAAACGTAGTGGTTGAGCCAAATTCCGTTGGACCCCCAAATGATATAGCTTCTTTCTAGCGCTTTTTCCCCAATGGTCATTCCATTTGAAGGATCAACCCCCTACGAAGGTCGGTGGCTGCGAAATCCATGTCGTAGCGTTAGCGTTCAGAAACCCAACGAAATGAGTCGATCCCCCAACGCAAATGCCAACAAACGGAATGGTTTCAACCAGGGTTTCAGAGAGGTGAAGTGGATTTCGTCCATCCATTAAACGGTTTGAAATGTGTTGCCTCGCTAGCTATATAGTTTATGAATTATCCAGCTGCTTGATGAAGTAACTGGTTGGCTAGCCAAGTCGCTTGTTTGCAAGTTAACTAGTTCGCGAGTCAGCTACAGCTGGCTTGCATCTGCTAGTTGGTGAATTATCTGGTCGTCTGGTCAGCCAGTAAGCTTCTTGTCAATGGGTCAAATAATGTTGATCATGAATTCGCTGGCTAGTTAGTTGAGCAGTAGCTCTTTGGCTAGTGAGCCAGTTCGCTTGTTGGCTAGTTCGCTAGTAATCCACGTACTAGATAAGAACTGCGATTTTGCTGCTTGGCCAACTGCTAGTCAGCTGTTTTCTCCTACCACCCAAAAAGGGGGACCTGCGAAACGACGTATTTGGCGGTGGGTCAACAATGGGTACCAACATTCGGAACCCTGGTAAACGGAACCAAGGACTAAAACCCGCGATCCATATCCTGGCGGCTTAATTTTGACCCATACCTTTAACTGGCGTCCAGGTGGTCCATGTGGACTAAAAGCTAAAGTCCTGGCGTCCAGGTGGTCTTAACTTCTCTCCACCTTTCAATCGATTAAAAAAAGAAAACTCCCGGCGCCGAGGTCTTTTTTGTCTGCCCCGCCTATGTCTTCCACTAGCGCCTCCAAGGACGCCGGCGTGCGGGTGCCGTTGCCCGCCACGCAGGTGACCACGGCAGAGTCCAGCGGGAAGCCTCCAGCGGAAAGGCGTCCGTCGGCGTCCATCGGCCCACTTCCCAGGCTGTGGTCAAACGCCAAATCGGTTAGCCCCCAGTGAACATCAACCAATCCAACCACTAAAAATGGTTCTAAAATGGGTGGTGAAAATGGGTGGTGAATTCACCTACCCCAAAATAATCCATTGGTTTTGACCCCCTGGTGAACATCAAAGGTGGCAAATGGATGTTCATCCACCCCAAAATGGAGGCATAGGTCATGCCCCCTGGCCATTTGTGGTGACCCCGGCTTGTGTCCCTGGGTTTACTGGGGATGCATCACTTTGGAGGGGAACACCCCCCATATGAATGAGCAGGGGTTTATTAATCCAGGGTCAACATTAAGAGAATGCCCCCAGGGGGCCCAATTTGGAGGACAAATCCCAAAGCTAAACAATGGTGGTTGTACTAACCCCCATTGTTTTGACGGTGGTTTGAACCTGCGAAACATGCCATTGCTTTGCTTCCCTTGAAAAGAAGGCGCTTTTCGCCTCATAAGAGAAACTGTTTTTTGTCTGCCTTTCTTTGCTTTGAACTCAAAATAGCACATCCCCATGGGGCGGTGCTGCGGTGCTGCGGTGCTGCTTCCCGCCCAACGGCCTGAAGGGAACTGCTCGTTGATGTAGCTGAGGAGCCCGCCTTACTTGAGACTCGCCCCCACAGCGAGTCACCGAAGGCTCCATTTCCCAAAGGCGTTGCCATAGGCACAACTGCATGCTGTAAGTCCTTGCCGCAACTGCAGATTCGAACTGCCAAGGAGCACCCTCTGAGCCAGCCAACTTGAATCATTGTTTCACCATCAAGGTCACGCGGTAGTTTCAAGAAACCCACCCCAACGTGGAAGGGGGGGGGAAGGGTGTGTGGGGTTTCAAGCCCAGGATCACCCCAGGCTCCAGAAACTTCCGCGGAACGCCGAGGGGCGAGTTTGGTCCAACACGGCCACCGGCGACTCCATCGGCGGTGGCCGATGGGGCGTGCCAAGCCTCAAACAGCGCTTGGCGTCCGACGAGATACTGTGGATGAGCGCGAAATCCGTCAGCACCACGTGGGAACCACAAAAAAACCACTGGTGGTTGGCATTTGCAAGGGGATCGTCATTGCAAAAGCTTCCTCCATCCACTGAATGATCTCATGAACCCGCCGGGGACCACTTTTTTTAGTGATTGTTTCTCCACCTGTCCAGGGTTCCGTTGTTGGGTACCTATTTGGCCATGGGTCAAAATCCCGTGCACCTGCCCCAAAATAGTACCATTGGTGTTGACCCACGGCCATGTTTGACCCACACCCACTTCGCCAGAGCCTGGGCCTGTTGCACCCCTCTCAGCAAACTCACGGAACTTCAGCCCAGCGGCGTCACCAGCGAACGCACGCGCCGGCGCGCCAGCTCCTCTCCGAGAACCTCTCGGCCAGCGAGAAACCCTGAGAGTCTTTTTCGGCTGCATTTGTTTTTGTTCGGGAGCCTTTTCTAGTGGTAGCTTTCCCATTCTTTCCAGGGATCCGAATCTTTCTAGAAAACCACCAAAGACCACTGGGGGATGGTTGGTTTTTGAAAAGAACAATGGCTGAAAAGAATGGGGAATCAACCCCTAGACCTTTGGCACATGCGACGCTTTTTGGCCGAAAGCAGAAGAGCCGCCATAACCTGAAATATATATATATATATATATATATATTTGTTTTTTTAAAGTGTCTGCCTCTTGCTAGTGGCTTGAACCAAACAACCATCTTTCATCTACCATCTGGAGTTTGCTGGGTGTCAACCTTTGGTATGGCCAATGCCCAACCCCCCCGAGAACCCCCCCGCGCGCTCGGCGAAAGCCCGCGCGTGCCGCACCCCAAAGGCCCAGCCTCGCCGATGTAGGACCGCGCCACCCAGCCTGCGCCAGTCATAAAATCGGCGCATCGGCGCGCCGAGCACAACCATACTGATCTGAGGTTAGTCCACTCTGGCAGGGTTTTCCGTATCTTTCCTTGTTTTGGGTGGTTTCAGACATTTTCTGGTCGCTTGCCAAGGCGTCTCCCGCCCTCTCTGTATCCCCACTACAGCCTCCGATGGAGTGGCCGAGAAAGGCGATAGGCTCCTGCGAGAGAATTCGCATCGAGATGGCACCGATTTGAGAACGGCCCAGTCATGTTCCGCCAGACAACCGAATGCAGTCACTTGGCATCATCTGAGACATCAACCAAACACACCCCCGAACTCAAACAAGTCAACCAAAAAAAACGCCCAAAACCGCCCAAAACCGCCCAAAACTGCCCAAAAACCGCCGAAAACCGCCGGAAGCTCGGATTTTTGCCTCAGGTCACACCTCCAACTGCCCCGGGGCCGCGCGCTCTTCGACGCGGCGACCGCGTCCTCGGGCCCGAAGTCGGCCTCCACGGCCGCCACAGCCTGGCGAGAGACTTTCCGGGTCGCCAAAAGTAAGCGACTTGGAACTGGGTAACCCAGCCAGCAAGGGGAAACAAGGGAAGCCGAAGCCGGGAAAGAAGTCTTCATGATCTGGCCTCCAAATGAACTGACTTTTGGTTGATTGAGGAATGCGTCCTTTGGCTTCCCTTCACCAAGCCTATTTTGGGGTTCCCCTAAAATCAACACGGCCTATTGGCATAAGCGTCCTTTGAAGAAGAAACCAATGGCCCGGCATGGAACAAAGCCCATCCAAACCAGCGGAACCCATCTATTTTCAGCCAGACCAGCCGATCAAAAGGACCATGTGGCAGGTTGAAAGGGGGGAAAACACCGCAAACCCCCAAAAAAACGACCAACCGGCACACCCACGCCAAAACACGGAAACACACGGGGCACACGGCTTCCCACGCCCCACGCGCGGCGTCCGGCTTCCAATGGGCTTCAAATGGCGCGCCGGGCGGGCGCGCCTGGTCCAGGGCCTCGTAGAAGAAGCCCAGCGTGGTGTTGGGCCGCAGCTCCGCGGTGAAGAACTCCTCCGCTAAGGGCGGGGAAGGGAACCGAGTACCCCAAATGTCCATTACACACACCTATCTTCCTGTATATGATGTAATATATAATACGTATATATATATATAATGTATCCATACTATGAATAATATATATATATATATATATATAACTGTACACATATTCATACCACATGTATTTATAAAGGCCGAGAACTCCATGTTGGGGTCTCAAAACACACACGAACACACAAGCACACACAAGCACACACAAGCGCGCACACACACACACACACACACACACACACACACACACACACACACACACACACACACACACACGCACACGCACACGCACACGCACACACACACAGACACACAGACACACAGACACACACAGACACACAGACACACAGACACACAGACACACAGACACACAGACACACACACACACAAGCACAAGCACAAGCACAAGCACAAGCACAATCACAAGCACAAGCACAAGCACAAGCACAAGCACACACACACAACACACACACACAAGCTTCTTTGTTTTTGTTAGGGGGGGAGAAAGGGGCGGGAGTCTTACGTTGGCTTTCCCAAACCCCCCACGGCTCTTGCAAGATGGCATCGGTTGTTCCTTTTGTTGTCCCTTTAAAACCACAAAGAAAGTGGTACCAACTCCAAGCAAGACTCACCAATGTCAAGAGGGTCTTGCAAGAGGCTTACCTAGATGCGTCGGAACAAATCAACGGCCTTGGCAAAAACCACCGGTTTTTGCCCCCCCAAATGACAGGGTTAAGCCTTCCCGCCCGGCACAAACTCTCCATCCTTGGTGAGGGTGCTGGGAACAATCCGCAGCCAGTCGAGTCTGGACAAAGGCGCCGCGTAGAGCGCGAAGCCTCACATTTCGCGGCGGCCTTTTTACCCCGTTAAATGAAAAAATCAGCTTGAGATCGGTGCTTTCGGAGATTGGAGGATTCGGTACAAGCTGCGATTGGAGAGAGCACCAATTGGAGAGGGCAGCTTGAGATACCAATGTTACCCCTCTCCCATCGATGCTTTCGGGTTCCATCTCAGGCCAGGAGATCCCCTCAGCTTGATCCTCAGCGGCTGGCGAGCGAAGCCGAGGGGCCCCGGTCTTCCAGGTTCACCTTCAGCTCTTCGTAGTCCTCCCGCAAAACACGGGAAGAAAGGCCCAGTTTTCCGCCGCGCCCTTTGTGGGGGCCCCCCTTTTGCTTGTTTTTTCAGGGGGAAAGCCAAGAGGAAAGCCACTTCGAGTGGATCCCCGAAAAAGAAAAAAAGAAAAAGGAGAAAAAAAAGACACGCCCACCGGTTTTCGCCTCCACCACTCCGAATTGGGCTGGGCACAGGATCACGGGCCGCCGCCGCACCTCGGGAAGCCACCGGGCACGCAGCTGGGCCGCAGCTCAGCACAAGATGTGTAGACTTGGGGGTAGTGTTCTGGTCTCACGACCATGGTAACTTTTCCCATGTGGGAAATATCACATCTTTTTGGTTCTCCAACCAATGGTCACATATCACGGACCTTCTGATCAAATCCTCCACACCCAGATTCAGGCGCCTTCGTCACCGCGCTGCTCGCAGCAGCGGCCCGCGCGGCGGTTTGCCGCTGCGGGGTGGACGCCTGGCAGACGTTGCCACAAGATCTACCCGCTTCGGAGTCCAACTATGTGTTTCCTTCGGGGCTGTTGAGACTGAAGGGGTCTGCAAAAACATGCTATTCGCGGGCAACACCTGCGATCAGGGTGTCAAATGCGACCAAGGACACAGTCTGCATGCACGAGGCTTAATTTTGAGCAGCCCAAAAAAATATACGAGTGAATATCAATGGAATTACACTTTTATGGATACGTGCTGAAACATATTTGTATATGTGGCTGGGCATATGTGAAATTACAAAGATTCAGGTGCGTCAAGTGTATATATTAAATGCAGACTGGTAAAGCCGCCGAGTTCAAATGAATGGTAACAATTGGATAGAAAACATATTCCATGTCCAATAGATTTTACATTTTGCATATACATGATATGTATCTTTGTATATCTACATACACTAATAATAATATATATATATATATATACATATGTGTAGTGACATAATGTATGCCGGGGGGAAGGCTGGAATGATCCTTGGGATCTCCAAATCTTATGATGCTAGAATCGAACAATTGAGCCATGAATCTTTGCGTGTGCCCAAACTAAAATATACATCGACCACTTCCCCTGACTATTCTATCACATTGAAGAGTTTTTCCATTACATTAAAGAAACTAGCCCCACACACAGTTTTCCACGACCATGGCTTGGTTTACTGAGCAGAATTCAGGCCATCCACACGTTTCCTTTCGAGCTGCCCCCCTTCTGCTGCACACCCGGGGGGGGGGGGAGGGAATGAGCGCGAATGGACGAGATACAAACAGAAGTACACAAAAAGTGCTGCGCATGTTGCCTGAATTTCCAAGCGCTGCTTCCCGACCGACTCCTGACTTCGCCCGCGGTGCTTCCTGACTCTTGGCCTACATCTGCGGGGTACACAAAACATGTCTCCAAATCATGCCTCATTTCGTCTACGCCTGCAAGCAGGGAGCAAGGCCACTGGTCTATGCAAAAACATCCGCAGACTCCATGTCTTGTAGAAGTCTTGGTACGCCCGCCTCACGGGGGAGTCAGCAAGATACACTATATATCTACATTGGTTGATTGACTTGACTGTGTGATTGATTGATAGACTTGTCTAATTTCTAGGTAGCTAGGTAGGTAGGCAGGTGTGTGTGTGTGTTGGCTTGCATGTATCAAAGCCATCAAATAGTACCAATATTCAACGTCCACTTGTGGCTGCCATCTTCTGAACATTTGCCGGGAGAATTTTGGAGTAATTTGGGCAAGTGTGAGCCAATTTGGGTTGATTTGGAATTGATGAATTTCCTTCTGCAAAGCCTAACCTCCAGAATGGTTGGGCCATCGCGGCCTGAAAGGAACAGCAGGGATCCCATCCCAACGTGCGTAAAACCCTGTCATTGGATCGCTAACTCTATCCGTCTCTTGGGAGACCCTTGCAAAGGGCTTCCTTTAGAGCAACTCTCTCGTTTCCGGCAATCCCCATTTTCCTTTCCGCGCTTCCAGAAAAGTACAAGGCCAGAATAGGATAGATGTCCCACAAGCCATGACAGAAATGGCACTCTACCATGCCAGAAATCGTCAGCTTGTGCCTGGCCAGCTGCGCATGACCTTTGCAAGCGGGCCAGGTGTGTGTCTGTGAGGACTGGTCGCAGCTGTCTGCGGGGATCTTCGAGTTAACGCGGGCCCACTTCGCACAATGGGGCATCATGTCCGGGCCAGGAAGCTGATGCGATCCATTGGCTCTGCATGTCAGACACCTTTGGTGCATGGCTCGCAATCACGGAGTCTTGCAAAGCGACGAACGGCTCACCGGAAGAGGATTGAAATTGGGAATTGTCCGTCGTTCCCACGTTGGTTCCGATCGCAAAAGACAGGCGCACCCGGACTTTCCCCACCACACATTGTGCGGGGAAGGCGAAATCCTTGCAAAGCATCTCAAGCAGCAACCACCGCTGAAATGGGTATGGCTCAACATTAAAGAGCCAGGGTTACGCAGGTTTTAGGCTTTGGTTCCATTTACCAAGGTGGCATTTTGGTGCCGCTTTTTTGAGCCACAGCCAGCTCACTCAGGGAGGGAAGCAGGGTTCGGGCACAGAAGGGGCAGTCAGGGGCAGTCAGCTACAGGCTGGCGGAACGAGAGTGCACTGCCGTGGCACGCAACCTGATGCTCATTGATCAAGATTCTGACACCCAACAAATCACCCATACGGACGGCGATGAGTGGGAATTGCGGTGTTTTCAGCTTGCAACCAAAACACATCCGCGTGGTGTCAGCCATGCCGTGCAAAAGCAGCCCGAATGACCGCTGAGAAAACTCGAGAAGGGAAGCCTGCAGGGATTAGGCAAAGCTCAGGCAGTCAGCAGCCACTTCGGCCGGAGCGATGGAGCGCGCTTGCAAAGGACGCAAATCTTTCCTGCACCATGGATTGCAGCAAGAAGGAGCTATTTGCTAGGCTTTGCGCACTGGCCCTTATTGGGCACCATTGGTATTGGGCGCCGTTAGGCACATGGCTTTTGCCTGTGCCAAGAGTTCCAAGATTGGATTTGGATGAGTCATGGCACTTCGTATTTCGCCCACCCCGCAGCACGCTCAAATCGCGCGCAACTTGCATCGCACACTTCTTTGAAACCCTTTCTCGGCCGGGAGCATTGAGCCTTGGTGGGCCCCGGTGGGCCCCATTGGCCCTATTGCTGTTGTTTTTTGGAGTTTTTGCAAGAAGGAGCACGGAGACAGTCAGACAGGAGTCAAGGGAATGGGATGCAAGCAAGCTAGCTCAGGGAAAGACTCCAAAGCCGCAACCGACCGCAGAGGATGGAACTGCCGGGTGGCTTGGAGAGTTCACCCAACCGAGGACGTGCCCAGGTCCTCAGCTTGCTTCAAGAGGCCCAAAAACCGACCAATGCGCTTTTATACGCGAGAAACGATGCACGGCAAAGATGGGGCAGTCAGCTAGGCCCAAAGGCTGGCGTTTGGGCCTCCCTTGACAGGTGGCCAAGTCTCGTTTGAACCAATGTTGCCCGCAGGCATCCATACGCCGCCAGCTCCCATGCTTGCGGATGGCTAGACCTAAGAGGACAGGGCCGGCCGCACGAGAGCACACTGCCCTCGATCTAACCCTGAAGCTAACTTGTTTCAAAGGGATTGGCATCATTGTGAGTTGCCTGTTTGCAGACATGCCCCACGCTAACCTTCTGTGCGGGCAAATGTTTGGCGCTTGCTTGCAAAGGCCTTCCAAGCAGCCATAAACATTCAAGAAGCGCAAGAAGCAGTGCACGGCTAGGGTTGGGCAGTTGGCTAGGCCTAAAACAAGGGCTGGCCGCGCAGAGTGCCCTGCCATGCACCCTTCCCTTGAAAACTTGGCAATGGTCTTGCTCCTCAAACCGACTTTGCCCGACATCGAATCAACAAGTGGCTAAGACCACAGGGCTGGCTGCGGGAGAGCCCAATGCCCTGATGCGCAACCTCGTCCTGAAACAAAGTGGGCGAGATTCTGACACCAGCCGCAAAGGGATCGCCCACACGGATTGGCATCATGGGGAATCGCGTTGTTATCAGGTTGGTCCTGGTTGGTCCTGATAGCACACACAGTACGCAAGAATTTCCTTCTGCGCGGGAAATGTCTGTGCAGCGAACGCCGCGATGATTGCCAAGGCATTGCCAACAGCCGGCAGTCAGCGGCAGTCAGCTCCGAAGGCAAAGAAAAACTGGGGGCGCAATCTGCTGTAAAGAAAGCGCCGGCCAAAATATGCAAGGCCATCGCTACAAGGCTCGTTGCTTAAGAATTCAACGCCTGAAAGCGGAAAGGGCACGACCCGACGCAAGCTGACATTGACTAAGCTCAAGGTAGCAAGAAGGGTTCGGGCAGACGGGCCGTCAAAGGCAGTTACGCCTTTGGCAAAAGCTGGGCGAGGGAAGTGTGCCCTGCCATGCAACTTGCTCTACAGGATCTGCCAAACATGTGAAAGGCCATCGCTATGAAGCTCATGGATCAAGTGTTCAACACCGCCAACCCGCAAAGGGTTCAGGCTGAACGGATTGGCATCGTCGACTGCCTTGCTTTCAGGTTGCCTCCGAATGCAATCCATGCGGCACCCGCCGGATTCGGTTCAGCTTGGGCAGCAGCCGGCGGTGAGTTGACAGGGCTGGCTGAAGAGAGCACTGCTCTGGCATGCAACCTCATCATGCAGCTAATAGATCAAGATTCTGACACCAGCCGCAAAGGGCTCGCCCGAACACATTGGCATCACTGGGAATTGCCTTGTCTTGCAGGTGATTTCCGATTGCGCAGCGCCAGCTGCAACGCTTGCAATCGAAGCTCAAAGACCCATCACTCCATAAACTCACGGAAAGAATTCGGGTCGGGCAATGGGCGGTCCAAGGGCAGTCAGCGGCACTGCCCCGGTCTGCAACCTCAGCGACACATGTAAGGAGCCCACATCATGAAGCTCAGTGAAGGTTTGACACCAGCCGCAGGCTCGCCCGCAAGGACCGGCATTGAATTTCGCCTTGTGTTGAGATGGTGTCCAATAGCAACAACGCACACTGCGCAAGCCATGCATGCAAAGGCATCCCAAACCGCTGAATAAAATCTCGCTCGGCTCGGGCGTCACCTTTGCCTGGGCTCACTGCCAAGCTCGAAGGTCACGATTCTGACACCAACTGCAACTGGCAGACCTGAACGGGATCCGCATCATTGGCAATGGCGATGTCAAGCTGCTGGCAGCACGTGAGGCATGCGCTGGCTACTTGTGCTTCAAGCATGCCAGTGCTTGCAAACACAGCCAGCACAGAAACTCAAGGAAGAAAGCAGGGTTGGACGAAGCTGGGGCAGTTTAGGCTGAAGACCCAGGGCTGCCCGCAAGCAAGGGCCCTGCCCTGGCATCCATCCTCATGACATCAAGCTCGCTGATCAAGATTCTGACACCGGCAGCTGCACAGGGCTCACACGAAAAGAGCGGCATCATTGGAGATTGCGTTGTGCTGAGGTTGTTCTTTGCAGAAGG